TAGTACATAAGCTTAAAAATGAAACCCCTTGTTAAATCGTTCATATTGCTGAAAATTTCTACAGCGGTGTTTCCCATGTATTTTTTCCGTTTAGAGTTTATTCTGAAAGGAAAAACTGTTCAAAAACAGATTTCCGTTGGGCAAATTTCTTGTGCTTTATCTCACTCATTAATAACGTGAAAAACTTTAAGTTTTCATCATTTGCACATACCATGGATGTGTTCTTTGCAGGTTTCATAATACAGATGCAAAGGTTTTGTATGATGTTGCATTTTTTTCTGTCAAATAGACTCTGGCAACGGAAATAAAATTCAAAATATATAAACCTTACCAAATCTCAATGGGCTCTCTCCTATCCGAAAGGAATAAAAAATATATCTATCATGTTTTTCACAGTGGCTGCACTTTCTTAAGCTCCCTGGTCTATCAGAATGGTGACTGTTGTAAGTGTTTTTTTTCCCGTATTATTGTAATGTATCCACTTTTAAAAGATTGTTTGTGCCTACCTCAGTGAAACGGCACCCAAATGTTAAAAGACTGTTTGTGCCTATCTCAGTGAAACGGCACCCAAAGGGGTGTTTGTACTGCCTTTATACTAAAATTAAATGGAACTGAAATAATGCGTTACGAGTTTCGGACTAGACACAACTGGATCGAGTGTAAGGTAACCTGGATGATTGGTAAGGCATTTTCCATTTTACGATGTGTGGATAATATGTTGATAGTTTGCAGAATCGGCGTATTTGTTTGCTGAAATTATGGAGACTACTTACATTAAGGGGTCAGCAAACATTTATTTTACTAGAACGGCATATTTCATAAATGTGGAAGCTTGGCGAGTACCGGGGCCAGGAAGGGAGGGGAGGGCACTGTGAGGAGGCTACAGTAATAATAAAAATAAATATATAATAATAACAAAAATTAAAATAAATATGTAATTATATCAAAATAGAGTTAATTTATGTGAATTGTAAATGTTATAGTGTTATAACGATTCGTTTTGTTACTGCAGAAACATTTATGATAAATTGTTACTGTAGTACGCCGTTCATAAATGTTGCTAGACAAGCAAAACAAACTACAAACTATTGTTGTTCAACCAAAATAAGTGGATGACACACAACAAGTAAATGAAATTTTATTCTTTAACTCTTAATTTGAAGAGAAGAATGCATACTCTGTTTCAAATCGAAATACAAATTCATAAAATGACGTGTTTATGTAAGAATAAAGGTTAAGGATATAAAATATAGTACGTCAACTTTGGAAAAAAAATGATCGAATATGCATTTTTTTTCCAAAGTTGGAAAGAATATACGATAATTATGATTATGTGTATTATTAATATACAATAAATATATCACTGTATGTCGAATCAAATGTTTATCGATTGAAAATTGACTTATCTACTCATGTAGTATTATCTAGATGTTGCTGATTCAGTTTTTATCAAAAGTTTAACTAGACATTTCATACAACTGTTAAAATGGCGAAACTAAAATTATTCGTTACAGTTACGAAGATTTGCTGTCCAGTTATCTAAAATTCAAAATTTAGATTTAACTGAAATACCTTAATTTAAAAGACTTAATTAGAAACTTTAAAATTGCTTAGCAGGGCCACGTTGCCGACTAAGTACTTAACATGTGGATTTTAATAACATGCTAAATAAACAATTTTTAATTTAGGCTTATGCATTTATTCTGTTAAAGTTCTGCATTTTCGTTTGTACGTAATTAAAACGTATCATTACACAAGTAAATACAGCAATACCTGTAAATTAATTTCCTGATTGCTCGACTGTAACCATGACTACAATGTTTCGCGTTTGCTAAAGTGCATGCTGGGACTATAATGCAGGAAGATAGTAAAACCCTAACCTTTCCTTGACAATAGGAGATGAAAATATGGATCTGAATACCAACGCAAATATTATGCTCTAAATTTCTTTTAGCCCAGTATTTTATGTTAGAATATAACAATCAGTGAGCCTAGAAAAGAGAAATAGAAATAGAAATATAGACAGATAAGATATATATTTTGATATTACTTTAAACCAGTTTACGTTGTATGTTTATATAAATTTTAGGGAAATCGTTTAACGGACAATTCTTGAGATACCTATCGTACAGAGTACTATTCATGTTTGAAACGGAATGCTAATATTGACGATAGTAGTGAACAAAATGTTTAGAGTGCATTTTTAAAAGTAAAAATAATATTAATGTAAAAAAAAAAAAAAAAAAAAAAAAAAATATTTTTTTTTTTAAACCGGTTCGAATTCGAAGTCCCAACAGTGGCCGAATTGTTGAAGACCTCTGAATCCTAGCATTTAGGCTCAGGCTTGTTATTTTATCCATTAGTAACATAAATGTGAAACCGGTTTTCTCAGAATATCTTCCATAAAGGCATTACACTACTTAAGCAAATAACCCTACCACACTAGGGTAAAAAAATGAATCAGATGAAAAAAAAGGATAGCAAAATTTGAGTCTGCTTGTTTTTAACTGAGCATCATTTCTATTTTTTATTACCATTTTTAATCAAAATGCCATAATTAATGCATTGTTTTAAATAAATAAATAAAAAAAAAAAAAAAACAGCAACAACATATAACTCCTGTGATATGAAATACCTTGTGATTTTTAACACCTAACGGCTATGCCCAGAAGCTAATTAAACACTTGGTAAATTTTATCCTCGATTTTGTTTAATTATTAAAATAGCACACAATTTATACGTAAAATAGAGAACAATTTTATTAGCAGCTCCTGGAGGGGTTGTAAACGTTTTTCTTTAGTCCAAAGGGACAACTTGCCTAGAAGGACTATTAATTTAATTTTGGCATTTTTCGTTGATTCACTATAAATGGTAAATGGGGGTTCACTTTTCAAATTTTTGACACCAAATAATAGAGCCATGTATTTAAAGAAATTAAATAATGAAAAATCTGCATAAATGTATGTATATTTCTCGCATTGTCATAAAACAACGGTACCCAGAGCCATCCAATCTTGGATAACGTTCGTTTTCACCCGAATATGGGCATCTGGAAGCCCAAATTTGCAATCTGGAATTTGGTTTATTATCTATTTCATATTTAGTAAAACGTAAACGAATTTTTGATTAACATGTGATGTTGCGTAGCCCCAACTTGTCCGCAACAGTAGTAGTGACTGCTATGAACTGGAAGTTACACAAACTCGTAAGAAGGGTTTAATCCCTTTTTATTTCACTTTAGAAATTACAGTTGCGTTCACTTACCGCTCACAAACTACGCCGGCGGCGGTTGTAACAAAATAGAAAAGTACAGCTAAAATAAAAAAACAGGATGCATACCTAACGAAGTCACATCTACGGGCTCTATAATTATAACTATCTTCTTAACCGCGTTCTAAGACATCTGTGATTCAGCAAACTTTCGAATTGAGAAGTTGAAAGATTCAACTAACTGCCGAGTAGGCCACAGGCCGAACGCGCGGTCTTAAATTTCTACCAAGCAACCTTCACGCTCGTGAATCAAGAAGCACACTTACAAATCTCGTTTCCCTTCTATTTACTCAAAATTACTTCTGCTAAAATTTGAATACTCTGCGCGTTTCTACTAAAATTTACATACTCTGGCATTGGCAATTCCAGGGGAAAGTAAAGGCTTGACAGGAAAGATAGTTAAAATAAATGCTAAAGCTTAAAATAAAGGAAAGATAGCTTAAAATAAATGCTAAAGCTTAAAATAAAGGAAAGATAGCTTAAAATAAATATAAACCCTACAAACAAACCCAACGATTTCAAAGCGAGCAAAGGCCTCACTGTACGGAAAATATTTTTTATCTCTAGCGCGCGAGACTGTGTATCGGAAATTCTAAACATATGCTCATTTAAAAATTATCTTGCGACATTGCTTTTAAACTGAATTTTATGCTTTAGGTGCGAAGAACATGATATTTAATAGATAAAGGTAGCACTTAAAACGTTAAAAAAACGCCATTTTGGGCGTAATGTGAAATCTAAAAGATTTCAGATTTTATTAACCGATTGGTGGGCACTTACCCCCTTTTTTAGCATTGGTGATTCTTAAGGCCAGAAATGGTAGTCATTTTTATTGTTTAGGCATCTAACAGGCGGACACCGTTACCTCCTATGAGGGAACAAACAGGTCACATCCATGCCTTTTCCGGGATTCGAAGTCGGCACTTCGCTATCGCAGTCAGCTTCCCTTACCATTATACCGTTTAGGGGGCAGAGGTTGTAAACTCAAAATGATAATGTAATTAAATAAAATAAATTCTCTTAAGATAATAACTTATCACGCCAGTACCTCGGCAAGTATTACAAGAAAACTTACTCAGACAAAGTGGTAGCAACACGGTGCAGGTTCATTGTTGAGATTAGCGTTTTACCTTTAAAGTATATTGCTTGCGATTTAATTTGTATAATTTTTGTGGTCTGAAGAAGTTCTTGTAACAGAGACATGTATAATTTAATATTCCATACAAGGAAGTCATGTGTTGTACACATCAGATTTTTAAAAATTGTTTTAACTGTGTTTGGTGTTTTATTTTTTCCTATATTTTTCAATTTTTAATAAAGATATTTTATGTGCGTTTTTTGCCTTGCCGCCAAGTGAGAGCGGAATTAATTGAATGAGAGATATATCTCTAATCAATTTTTAGGAAATAAATGTGAATGAAATGCAGTAAAGAGTGCGTATATTACGTACAAGGAAGCCATGTATTGTCCGTATCAGGTACTTTTTTTCTGTGTCAAAAAATGTAAAATATGTTCCTTGCAAAAAAAGATAAATATGCTTCTGAACCCTTTTTAAACGCATATTTAATCGTATACTGTTGAAATGCCGGTATCCATATGAACTGTATAACTGACTGAAAGTGGCCCTTTTGAATGCAACCAGATTATGTTGTCTAATCAGATGTATCTATCAGTAGCTTTCTTTATTCTCTAATTTCTTTGCGCTCTGAATAATACTTATTTACCTGTAGATTCATCCTTTTGATACTCTTCAGAGACTACCCAGTGAACAAAGTCTTCGGGTCACGTGGTGCAGAATACATTTTGGTAAGTGGTAATCTTTCTGTTTTCGCTTTATCGATTTTTATTCTTAATTTTTCAAGCTGAACATTTACACTTACGAATTGTTTCCATTGTGTGCATCTTTAAGCATTGCTGCTAATAATCGTGATACTGTGATACTACATCATATTCAATGTGTTAAAATATTCTTCTGTTTAAGTATATGTTAAAGTATGCAGTTACCTTCGGAAGATTTTAACTAAGATGATGTTTGAAATCAAGCAAAGCTGTTTTTTCAGTAAATAATTAAGATAATTAGAATTAAAGGTGAAGCGTATAGTAATGGCTTTTCGACATTATAATGACGGAAATTTTATTATAATAAATTAATCTTATAATTAAGCAACCTGAGTTTTACAACTTATACTTTTTATTTCATATCTGTTCAAAAATCAGGATTTCCAAGTTTATATTTTTTAAATTTTTAATTTACTTATTTATTTATTTATCGTACGTATATCCATATGCTTTCTTTATAGGCTATTGCTATCGGCGAGGTGGACGAATGCTACAAGCTGCTCTGCGTTTTGTGTCAAGACTGAGAAGGTATCTAGCTGTCATTGTCAGTGATCCTCTATTCGATATGATGATCACTGTTTGCATTCTCCTCAACACGGCCTTCCTTTCTGTGGAACATTACGGAATGACTGCGAAAACTGAGAGAATACTCAGGTTTGGCAATCTGGTGAGTAAATAAAATATTTAGGTACTTAGAACTAATACATCGCTCGTATAAAAATAATTGTAGAAAGTTTTCTTTGAACAGACGTGCAATTTTTATAGTCAATCTACCTTTGTATCTACCTTAAACTTACGACAAAAATTGAACTAGGTTTAAATACATGCCATATGTTTAATCAAGCAAATAATTTTTTAAATTAAAGACAAAATACTTCTGTTGTTCGAAATACATATTTTAAAGTACATAAATCATTATGAGGTACCTTGCTTCAATTTACAGCTCACTGGGTACAGTATTCTCGGCAAAACTTTTAATAAAGTAGGGCGCGTACGTAAACAACAAAATGTGTTCTGAAAGAACGTGTTATTAATAGAGAATAAGAAGAAGAACGTCTAATAAGAACGTGTTATTAATAGAGAATTAATTAGTAAGTACTTATTAATTATTAACTAATAAATAATTGTAAAATAATAATAATAATTAATTGTAATAATAATTATTATAATTAATTAAAAGACTTAACAAGAACTAATAATTATTTAAAAATTAAATAATTAATTATTATAATTAGAGGTCTGACATTCTAGTATATTTTCTTAATTCTGATATCTTTACCATTTGTTGCGCTTCCTTAATTATTTTGTATGTTTGTTCAAATGAAAAGGTGACAAAAAATAAGCCGTTTCCAGAAAAATCTAAACAAAAAACTGTCTAGAAAATGGAATAGGTAATAATTTTCAAATATGTCTATAACCGTATATTACGAGAGAGTCGGGACGTCTCACAGCGAAGAACGACCATGTACTGACCATGTTTGTAGCATTAGTTCGCTACATAGCAAATATGTTTGATGAATGGGTTACCTAAAAGTTGATTTTCAACTACAGAATTCTTCGATTAGTGAAAAACATACGGTCATGTGGTTTGCGATACCGAAACAACACGCTAATAGACATTTATGGCATAAATAAATAAGTCTCAAAGTATATGGAGAAAAGTATACTTACCGTATCTAGAAAAATCTATATTTTCCCTAAAATTATCTGTAAATGAAATGAACCTTTCTTTCAAGATTGTGAAGATGATGCAAAACTTTCCAGAGATATATTTAGTTCGACTAACAGTTAATTTTTAGTTAAAGACTAATAGTTAATTTTTAGTTTTTTTAGTTTTAGTTAAAGCAACTTTCCTTCTAGTCTCGTTTTCACCCATGCTTTCCTGCCAGAATGCTAATGCGATAGCGCGTGTATTTTAAAATTGAGGAAGAAAGAAGCTGTATTTAAGCGAATGTTTCGGAAGGCGAATTTAGAGTGTGTTATGCCTGCTTGAAGGCCGCATTGTTACTTTGAATTACTAGCGATTTGATTCTGTAGCGTTGAGTGCTTCTAGCCATTAACCTATAACCCCCTATTGCGTATAATGTTCCTATGTATCATTAATTTCCCCGTAATGCGTACCCAGTGTATAATGATAATATAATGCGTATCCTGTGTCTAATGCGAATCCTGTGCAAAATAACTCTTTTATAATGTACCAATATAGGGTTTATTAGAAAAGAATTTTAATGTAATAAGTTGATGTGAAGTTAATGTAATGTTAGGGTAAGATATTAATTTGATATGTAGTATATAATGCAATGTGTAAATCATGTATCGTAATATATAATGTAATACGAAATGTAAGATAAAGGTGGACGTGGTGCTGTACTGATTAACCCAAATGGTAAAGGGACAATGCCCACGTCCTCCGTCGCTTATCGCTTATAGCCATTAACCTTGTTTCTGCCGGCTTCTACGCGTAAGAGCCTTCCTGCAAGTTAATTTATCCTGTCAGGGATTAGACCCGAGTGGCGCCATCTGTGCGATTATATTGGAATGAATAAAGGGTTCTTTACATCCTTCTTCTGACTTTTTGTTGTGTTAAGATCTGAGGATAATTCCTCGTACAATCATTTTAGAGCTCGTTAATTTATGCTTCCTAAGAGAACGAGACTCTATAACTTGACTAGTCAAATGCAATCGCTACGCCAAAACTCTTGGAAGGTGGATGGTTACATGAAGGCCGAACCGTTGAAACATCTTTTTCAGGTAGTATATGTATAAAAAACGTATTATTTAAACTGGAGGAGAACGAGTGCATAAATTAACAGCGTTTACATGCACAGTTTCTGTATTGCGTGAAGTCAAATACATTTTTCTCTTCCGTATCATGCAGAAGGTCGAGGCTTCATTGGAAATTAATAGCTATTACATTTTTTCGTAAGAGACATACTCGTATTTAGAAATGTTATTTTTTCATTTGACCAAAACAATAACAATAATTAAAAATAATGGCAATTTCTTTAAATGTTTAGAAAACATTTAATAGAATATTTGAATTCTAGGTTTTCACAATTATATTTTCGTTGGAAGCAGCTGTAAAGTTGGTAGCATTAGGGCGAGACTATTTCAGGAGCAAGTGGAATCTGTTCGATTTTGTGGTGGTGGTCGTAAGCTTGGCGGATCTCAGCTTTGAGACAGTTGGTGGTCTATCTGTTCTCAGGACATTTCGACTGGTAAGTAAATAAATAAGTCTGTGAGCAATTTTCTCTTTTTGAAAGTAAAGCAAGGATAAGGGAATTTGCAATTTGGCTTGCAGTCAGATCCAACTTAATACCTGAAAATTGAAATATATATTTATCTCTGCAACGTGAAATGTATGGATAGTAAAAAGAACATTTTCCGATGTACTAACGATATATTACATAAACATAGTGGAATCTTTCCGTAGGGAACATTCGCAAAACGAAAAACGAAGGCTGATCAGGAGTTATCAAAGAACGTTCGTAAACGAGAATGTATTTGTCTGTTGTTTCAAGGGGATCCAGAAACAGTGCATTAATGCGGAATATCTACTTAAAAGGGTTCGTTGAGAGAGTTTCGCCTGTAATTTGCTCCACTTCTTAAATAAGTTTTGTTGCCATTTAAAAAAGTAATCTTTACTGTTGAATAAAATTAAAAATCAGCTAAAATAATTTCAATTTAAAAGGCTACTCTGTTTGTTTCTGGATTTTTTATGCAAATTGTCATTAACAGAAGAATTTCCAATTGTGGAAAATGTATTGCACCGTTTGAACAAAATTAGAAAAGAGGCCGGCCTTCTTATTTTCCTATAAAAGTTCATGATTAGCTGTTAGGTCTTCTTTTAAATGCATATAATACTCAATTAGAAATAAAATCAGAAATTTTGGAGGCGACCAGCTACATGGTGTGAAAATCTATTTTATTTATGAAATTCCTCCTGCAAAATAGCAGTTACTGTGAAGTTCTTGTCACAAAGTAAAAATAAACGGCAGTTAGACAACACTAAAATATCTCACTCGCCCTCTCAGCACGATAAATGGGGTCATACCGTAATAGTATCTACTATGAGGAAAAGCATGAATTCTTTTAACTTAGCTAATTCGTATACTTCTAAAAATGAGTAATATGAATTAAGGTAAGAGATACAATTAATAGAGCTAATGAAAACCTGAACAGCTGAACTGGTCAATAAAGCAGAAAATATTATAAAGATAATATAATATAGTCAGGAAAAAATGGCGATTGGAACTAAGAGTACTAGGAATTTTAAGATAATTAAAATACTATGCTGTAACGTGTAGGGTTTGTTAGCTAAGATGTGATAAGAATGGGATAGAAATAAAATAATAGACAGCCTAATATTATGAATTTTTTTCTGTCTAGCTTTCAGATTTTCTTTGTTAATCATGCCTTTTTAATTTTTTACATCGGTTGAGACCAGAAATATTAAATTAAATATTAAATAAAAGCAATTAGAATGCAATGCGATTTAATTTCCACTATAGTATTAGTATTTGAGCTGTGTCTTATTCTTGTCTGGCTGAACAAAGTGATCTCTTGGTAGAATATTAAATTCAGTTTCTGTGATAAAGTAATAAACAACGCGGCAATAACCCCGTTTCCCTAGGACAGGTCAGTTTAAATTAAAAATTAAGAAAAGTACTTCGGAATTTTCCTTAGGTATTTTATGAAGATACTACGTGAACTATGTGTAGAGACCATTTAGATGTTTTTCGAAGCAGCGAAATCGAAAAAATTGGCAGTTTCCTTGCCAGGACTCTAACTCCGGAACTTCTGATTGCTTAGCCGGACATGCTTTCCAGTTTCACCACGAAAGCACACAGAAATAAGGGAGAAAAAGCTTACATTCTTCTTCACATAAAGGACTTCACATAAAGGACGTCAAAAGGGGACTCAGTCGTCAAATCTTTGTGGTTAAGAATTAACATTCAACACCTTTTAGTTCGGGTGCCGCTGTAGAAATCATTAGGAATTTTATTTCGGAGCTGAAGTCTTAAAAAACACCCAATGCCTTCGCTGGGACTAGAACATCTGGAATTTCCGAATGCTAGCCAGACTTGCTTTTCAATTACACCACGAAGGAACTCAATAAGGAGAGAGAAAAACCTTTCATATTTAGTTAACTTTAAGGAAGGTGCATTTAAGTTAAGTATATCAAAAAACAAGTTGGAGATTTAAAAGAAACTTTTGTTGTTTCTGATAACTGAAGCGAATGTTTAAAGCAGAGAAAGGCTGAAAGTTTGGCAGCAAATATTTGAGAAACTTAGACTGATATTATGATTTGCTTCACCTGTGGATTTATTGCTAGGTTTAGTGAAATAACTCATAATAAAATTGTGAAATCACATTTTGGATGCAGCTTCTTCGTTCAAAGTATATTGTTATGCAAGGCTTTGAGATGATATGGTGGTGAAATGAATAATATAATGATAAGTAAGCGAAGATATTTCTCATGGATATGAGCCTAATTTCGATTCTCTAATAAGAAATGAACATCTGCATTATGCCTCCGCTCTTTGCTTCTGCGATATCAGTTTGCTCTTATAACATCCTAAGCAGAATTCTCGACAAAAAATGAATGAAGGGTTCAGAAATTCTTTGAGAATTCTTCAGCAAAGTTTAGGCCACCAGAGGAAGACAAATGTGTTAATAGAAGCATATGTAAGAATTTATAAATAATGAAAACCCTTACAGTTAAAAAATATAACCTTTTATAATTATAGTGACATCTAGTCACATCATCATTATCATTATTATTATAAGAGCACAGCCCCGATTCTACAAGTTGGCACAACCTGACCGTATGATAAAAAAATGGGACTGACCAGAAAAAAAAATATAAGGAAAAAAAAAAAAAAGTCCAAAATCTAAATCTCAATCTCAGTGCCGAATTCCAATTCTGTCTTTGTTAGCATTTATAATTTTCGTTATTGTCTCTACAAAATCTTTCAAATTTGAATAGTTCCTTTTAAAATGTTCCTTAAAATTCTTTCTATATTTCTCTCTTGCACTCCGGGTAAGAATACATTCATTGATGAAGTGCCTGGCCACTTACATCTAATCACATGTCATTTTAACTGCTTTACAGATAGTGAACTTTTGAAATGTGTATCGGCGATAATAGTAATAATTAGGCCGAATATGTGTTCCTGACTGCCGGTTGAAAGCCCTGCAAATTTGGGTGGTAAGCGAACTTTCTTACAGCAAAATGTAAATTGCCCATTAAAAATTAAAAAAGATTACTACGTAAAGAAGTTATTTTGGAGTACACATTAAGTCATAAAAAGAAATAATAAATATCCTAAATACTTCTTTCTAGTTTGGTCATATTTAGTTTTTATTGCCTTTGACCATGTATAACTTTTACTGTCTTTCTATAACCAACTTCCTTTCTTTCTTGCAATTAAATTTTTGTTATGTTTTTATGATACATTTCCTTTCATATTAATAATTCAATATGCGTTTTATTTTTAAACCGTTTTAATGCACCTTAATGATTTCCATGTTTTTCTTTCATGCAGCTCAGAGTAGTGAAACTGGCACAGGCCTGGCCAACAATGCGTTTATTGCTCACAATCATCGCTAGTACGTTGGGCGCTGTAGGAAATATGACTTTTGTCCTAGCTGTCATAGTTTACATATTTGCTATAATGGGAGTACAACTTTTCAGCGATATATATACAGCAGAAAATTTCGCTCCGGCTCCTGTGCCGAGGTAAATTATTTGTTCGTGTATTTTTTTTATTATGATAGTGCTGTATAATTTTGATCTTGCATCCATCACATAAGAAGTGTAAAATATATGAAAGAGAAACGTTTCTCCTTATATAGTTTTCTTGAAAACTCAAAATTACCTTTGATTAGAAATTTTATATCTAAGGAAATGTAAAATTTCTAACCAAGGAAGCATAGCAAAGTATTTTTATTTTCATTCACATATGAAGGTAAAAATAATATGTTGAACTACATGACACTACTAGTTTTATTGCAGAATATTTTAGTAATGTGCAATAGAATTTCTAATGCGAATCGGAAAGCGCAGATCATAGTTACGTTCGGGGCATGATAAAAACTGATTGCTGGCTATATTTTAGAATCTGGTGGAAAGGAATCGGTTAAGGATTGTAAATACAGGCGTATGATAAAATGACATGAAAGAAATCATAGTTCTTTATTTTTTAAATGAAATAAAATTTAAAGCTAACTACAAAAGTGCATTATTATAGAACTGGCGGAGATAAGTTAGCAAATATGCAAAGTTTCTTAACAGCTTGGATTTAATGGAATGAAACAAAACTGTTTTCTAATCTTGCACACTATACTTTAGGCATGGAGTAAGGTAGTCAACCAGAACACTATTTGTTTAATAATACATACCTCGTGAAAATATAACGTATGAAAGGCGTAATATGAGAGATGTACTGTTATATGCAAATCAGAGAGGAAAGAAAAGAACATCTTCAATTCACTAATTGTAATCTCTTTCAATGACAGGTGGAATTTTACTGATTTCTGGCATTCTTTGCTAATGATGTTTCGTATACTTTGTGGAGAATGGGTGCAACCTCTTTGGGATTGCATGCGAGGGGCTGGAGAGAAGTATCAAGTGTGTATAGTTCTGTTTCTTGTGGCCTTGACGGTGGGTAATTTCCTTGTCCTCAATCTCTTTCTCGCAATGTTGCTCAATTCTTTCAACTGCCAGGAACTCAAAGAAAAGAGGGTAAGTAGTTGTTATCATAATAAAAATTTCATTTGATAAAAAAAAACATACAAATTCACTTTAAACTTTTTAAAATAATGTTACTTGTGAGGAATTCTGATTAGTTCTCTCCTGTGAGTAATATATACCGCAATATTTCTACATTTAATTTTATTTCAAAAACGTTCTTGCCTTGTTGAACACATACAGCTTGTTATATAAAACAATCGTTGATATGCATGGTTGATAATGGAGATAAAATACTACATAACGAAATATTTGATATACGTTTTACAGATATAATTAATGTATCAAGTTATAAATTTCAAAATGTCTATTCGGCCCACCAGCGGCCGAGCGGTAAAGACGCTGAACACTGGTAGTTCGGTCTGAGGTTCGAATCCCGCGAACGGGCTGGCTGCATGGGCGTTTTCGTGGTTTTCCCCATGTGTAACGTGTATACGAGCCAGTTTCCCTTAGAAAGTCCTCCACGAAAGGCATCCCTCCCTTTAGGCAGATAGCCCTCGTGTGCTTTGCCATAATTAAATACATCAACATACATCATCATCAAAATGTCTATTCAATCTGCGATTTTTAAAGACCCAAAATTGCAAGATTATAATTAATTGCGTAATAAAAATTTCAGAATACCTTTATTTAAGCCCTTTGCAAGCATTAAATTAATATTAATTTTCTGAAATTGGCCTAATTATATAATTTATAAAATAAATGTATAATAAATTTAAGGATAATTTTTTTGTAAGCATTCTTCACTAAGATATTGATTGTGAACAAAAGTTTTGACTTTAAAAATGTAGACTAAAAGAATTAAAGAATTTTAAATTTATTTAAAATTCGAAATTAATTGAGACCTTGAAGTTTTGAGCCGTACGTTTCTCGAGTTTTTCTTAAAAAATGACTCACTTTTATGTTAGAAAAGGAACGCATTATCCAGAGCCATACATACTCACTCGATTGTAATTAAACACCGATCAACCACGTGAGCTAACAGGCACAGATAAATGAAACAGTTTAATCGCATTGTATTTAGAAATGTGAATGTAACTCACAGTAACTTCAAGTTAAATCAAGGCAGATGAAGTTTTATGTTGACGTCAATCTGCTTGTGTCAAACAAAATCTTCAGTAGTTATTGCAGATACTGACTCTGAGTCCATTCAACTTCTGATTTAAAATAGTTCAGATGGTAACAGCAGTCTATGAGTGGATCGCAATGTCGTGAATTAAGAGTCCCACTCATAATCTAGGTTATTACAGTTAGACTTATTAAGGAAGAAATCTTAGTGGTACATGAATTCTATTGTACGGGAAGTCTATGAGTGGATCACAAGGTCGTGCATTATGAGTCCTAGTCAAACCTAGGTTATTATAATTAGACCTGCTGAAGATGAAATCTTAGAGGTACATGAATTCGATTGTACTTAAAGTCTGTGAACAACGTCTTGAATTAAGAGTCGCTTTCATAATCTAAGTCATTACAGTTAGACCTACTAAGGATGAAAACTTAAAAGTAAATAAATTCCATTGTTGTTCCCAAGAGCCGCTCATTTCCCGAGTGAAAATGAAAGGAATAGTAATCGCTTGGATGTCTAACTGCAAGATAGAACCTTAGATCAAAACCCATTTATCAGTAAATATTGGCTAATAGATCAAATACTGGCTAATAGATCCTCTGGCAAAAACCAAATATTGGCTAATAGATCCTCTGGCTACCACACAGCGTTCATTTCAATAGATCTCAAGAGCGCTTTTGATACTCTGTGGTGGCCAGCAATATTACAAGCTCTACGAACCGCTAACTGCCCAAGCAATATTTACAACACCATCGTAAACTATTTAGCGGACCGCCGGCTGATCCTTCCACATAACAGCGGAATTATAGAACAAGATCAGACACAGGGATGCGCGCAAGGCTCATGCGCCGGACCGTTCCTATGGAACATAACCTTCAACGGAATCCTCAACAACCCATGGCCTGACCATACAAGGATCATCGCTTACGCAGACGATACAGCCCTAATCGTCAAAGGAAGAACCAGGGAAACAGCTCCAGGCTAATGCAATCGAATCCTGCTCCCTTTTTCAGAGAGATGCACAGCCCTAAAACTTCAAATACCAGAGGCCAAATCTCAAGATTTTGCTCGTTCCCGAAAAAAGGCGGATCGCTGGCAAGACAGCCAAGGATAACTTTAAACGGACATCGCCTCCGCATCACTCCAGTGCTGAAATATCTAGGAATCCTCTTCGACACCAAATTAAACTGGATTCCCCCATGTGTTTGGAGCTGAAAAAGAAAACTGCAAGATTAGCCCAACCAACTAAGATATATGCAGGGCTATAAATGGGGTCTCAATCCCTATATCCAGAAAACGCTTTACACAACAGTAGCCGAGAAAGTTATAACTCATGTAGAGCGGCTGTTTGGTCAGCGCCTATGCAGGGCCGCAAAGTCAAGCATCTACTTAGCATACAAAGGCCTTTTTCTCCTGAATGTCACCAAGGCCTTCCGAACATACCCTACAAATGCGTTATGCGTACTAGCGGGATTGCTACCGCTCCATCTGAGCGTAGAAAAGGAAGCAGCCTATCAGGAGATCACTCAACTTGGCAATCTAACCACCTTCAGAGACGAGCTATACTCACCAGCCGAATTTGAACAAAAGATGATACGCCTTGCCGATCACCCCTCAATGCAGGGACAGGGAGTAAAGATTAGCATCAAGCAAAACACCAATGTAAAGGAAGATGATCTAGTCTATTATACCGACGGGTCAAAACTAGATGAAAATACAGGTTGCGCCTATGTTGCCCTCAGACAGCAAAGCACAATAGCACAATGGAAAGGTCACCTGGACACAAACAACAGCGTGTTCCAGAGTGAAGTAATGGCCATCAAACAAGCTCTACTTACGATAATCCAACAGCGGCAAAGAGACAGCTTCATTATAACAGACAGCCTCTCCTCCCTGTATGCAATTGTGAACCCTGTGCACAGCTCCCCCACTGATTGCAGAGATTCAGACACATCTGCGCGACCACAGCCATCTTAAACACCAGGATAGAATGGACCAAGGCCCACGTCGGCAACAGGGAGAACGAGCAAGCAGATCAACTTGCAAAGGAGGCTGCAAGAAACATCAATGCGGAACATATCACCATCCCTTGGCCAGTTTCATATTTAAAGAAAAGTCTGAAACACAAGGCAAAATCCGTTTGGCAGGAGGAATGGGATACTGGTGAGACAGGACGCCGTGCTCACTATCACGTCCCTACGGTAGACTCAGACCGTCTCATAGTGCATGCACAAATGGTCCGATACATTACCGGACACGGTCCTTTTCCCGTGTACTATGAAAAACACGGGATCGCACAAAATGCACATTGTATATGTGGTGAGATGGGCACCCCAGATCATTATGTTACCCAATGCCCGCTTACAGCAGATCTGAACCTGCCAATTCCAACTACAAACACGCAGGCTTTCTGCAGATTTATGGTTAAAGACAAACATACTGTCCGAAAAATCAACAAGATAGTTGATAAACTCATGAACGTGGGCACAGACTTATGTCTAATCTAAAGCAAACGTGCTAAGATATGATATGCAAATGCAAGGTGGAGTGTGCAACGCCATTTACCATGTGCCATGTATCGTGTAACTTAAAAACCATGTCATACAAACTTCATGTATATATAACTATCGGCATGATGTGCTACGAGCAGCTCACAAACTAAAACTGTAAATATTGCAAATGAACTGAGTCAGTAATGAACATTACGCACTGAGGTCAGTTATCGTGCATATAACTATGCACTTTGCAGCGCGTATAACTGCCTTCAACAGAACAGCAACGTGTCAATACTGGCAAATTACGCAATGCAGGACAGTTCATGTACTACGCGTACTAATACCAATCGGCATCCATATACCGCGACCTATTCTAAGGATGCGAAATGTAAAGTAATGGAGAAATGCACAGATGTAAAATCCCTGCAGTAATATGCTAATTGTAAATGCAAAATTAATCTATGCATATTAGGAATGCCAATGTAATCCATTATATGTTTTTTTTACATGGTAAGTATGTTAATGTAATGGTTAAGGAATGTATTATAAGTGTAAAGAACTTTGGTACAGAATAACATTGTAAAGCTTACCGGTTTAAGTATAAGGAGTAATGTAATATGCACATTCGTATAGGTTAGTCAGTATTATTTATCCTGCGTAATGTTTTACCTGTGCATAACAAATTCTCCTGCGTATAACGTAATACGCATCATGTATATACCCCGTTCTGTGCATAATGTTTTTCCTATGTGTCACGCATTTTCCTGTGTATAATTTAATGCGCATCCTGTGTTGAATGCGCAGCCAGTGCAAAACAACATTATTATCGTACAATCTGATGATAATGTATCTAATGATAATGTATCTGTTACCAGTATACGGTATATTAAGGAAAGAAAATTAATGTAATAAGTATTGGGAAGTTAATGTAATGTTAAGGTAAGGCGTTATTTTGTCTTGTCAATCTGATGTGTAGAATATAAATGTAATGTGTAAACCATGTATCGCAATATAAAATATGTAGTGTAGTATGTACTGATAAACTATCTTGTTAATTTGATATGTAGTACATTATCTAATACGTAAGCCAAGTATCGTAATATGTAATGTAATCGTAATAGTGTCATATGTATCATAATATATAATGTAATATGTAATGCAATCGTATTAGTGTCATATGTATCATAATATATAATGTAATATGTAATGTAATCGTAATAGTGTCATATGTATCATAATATATAATGTAATATGTAATGTAATCGTAATAGTGTTATATGTATCATAATATATAATGTAATATGTAATGTAATCGTAATAGTGTCATATGTATCATAATATGCAATGTAATATGTAATGTAGTATGCACTGATTAATGAGCAACATAACACAGAATGCAAAGCCCAACTGAAGAAATGTGAATGCAAACTTTATAATAGTATTATGCATAACGATGTAGGCAGTGTATCGAGAAGCCTATCATGTGAATAAGTTATCCTGTATAATGCAATACCTGTGTATAACTAATTTCCTGTGAACAATCTAATCCGTATCGTGCTTATAACTTCCTATTGCGTATAATGTTCCTATGTATCATTAATTTCCCCGTATATAATGTAATGTGTACCCAGTGTATAATGATAATACTATAATGCGTATCCTGTGTCTAATGCGAATCCTGTGCAAAATAACCCTTTTATAATGTACCAATATAGGGTTTATTAGAAAAGAATTTTAATGTAATAAGTTGATGTGAAGTTAATGTAATGTTAGGATAAGGTATTAATTTGATATGTAGTATATAATGCAATGTGTAAATCATGTATCGTAATATATAATGTAATATGAAATGTAAGATAAAGGTGGACGTGGTGCTGTACTGATTAACCCAAATGGTAAAGGGACAGTGCCCACGTCCTCCGTCGCTTATCGCTTATCAGTAAATATTGCCAGTTGCTTTTCGTGGCATAGCATGTTCAAATGACATGGCAGCTTTTCAGTAGACTAAATAAGTTTTAGCTTCCAGTTCCTATACTAAAATGACTCACTTTTATGTTAGAAAACATAGGATAAGTACAAAAGCATTCTTTTATTTTACGAAGGCTTAAAATAAAAAGTTAGTTAATTAAAATAAATTATTGATTTAATATTGAAGTGAATTTTATGGAATTTTCACACGTAGCATCGCTTAACGATTGAACGCTTTGAACGCTTCATCGTAGAATTTTAATCACTGCATCATCGGATAGATCGAAAAATAATATTCAAAAGGAAATATATTCAAATCTCTAATATAAGTTATTGATTTTTGGTAACTCTTCCAAAACATAATATTTTTTCTCCTGATCATCACGTGTGTATTGTATTTACATTTCTATACGAGAACATCAATCATGTGTACTGTCTTAAGATTTTCAAGGGATATAAATTTGCATTTTCATCTTCTCTTAAGACAAGAATGGTTAAAAATTTTTGACTAGGCTATTTTCACAGCTTTTAGTCACCGACGATTGAAAATATAATCATAAAAATTAATGATTTAACTTTCAGTTCAATTTACTAAAACTATTTAATTAAAGCATGTTTTTCACGTATATTTCACAAACTGCATTCAATCTTTATGATATCAATATATTTAAATTTTATAGGAGAGAGGAGCTTCTGATTCGAAATTGCTGAAGGGTTTTCGGAAAATCCGAGGGGTTATTCGTCGGAATGCCAACGAATCGGAGACGACATGCAACGACCCCTTTCCACATCCCCTCCCAACGCAACAGATGTTCCGGAATAGGAGGTGGTCAGAACCAGGGATCCGCTTGCCTCCCGTTTCGTCTCGAAGAGCCAGCGAAATTTCCGTCAGTGATTTCGATAAATTTCGGAAAGCTAGAGGTAAGCCATGTCCCAATGGAGGATTAATTTACGTTTAGCGTTTTAGAGTACAAAGCCAAAGGGGCTGGAAAAAAAGACACTAGCAGATTGGGGAATTACCTCTATCAAGGTAGAATACATGGATAATTAAGTATTATAATGCTACTTACAGCGATTATGTACAGATTCATAACATGTTTGAATATAGGCGCTTTACAATGCTGGGCGTTTTTTCTTTTTAATTTTTTCTATGCGTTTTGTAATGTAGTGGATTTCCATGCGTAAGAACATTCACTCGGCTTTTAAAAACTGAGGCTGCTTTAAGAATGTGTTTCTATGACATGATTGTGTTGGAGATTTTTAATTTATTTCTGCATTCGTATAAAGTTCTTCTAGTGATAAGTAGACGCAGTTACTATCTATACTATTAGCAAAACCAAATGAATAAAATAGTTACGATAGATATATAAGATATTTCTTCTTTCAGGAATCCCAAGTACTTTGAGCAACTACAGCTCAGCAAGGATATTAGCCTTATCGAACAAAAGTCTTGCTGATCATCTGCCATCCGTAGAAGCTATAGAAGAGGTAAACATTTTCAAACAATTGATTTCAAAATCTTAAAATTGCTTAGTAGTAGCATAGTGATAGGTAATTACGGAAATGTTTAGATCTAGATGAAAAATAAAACACGCAGAATCACCACGTATGCTCTGTGGGAAAAAAAATCAGGGAAAGTTCTATATCTCCCATTCTACTGGGTTGATGAAATTTAACTTGCGTTTCAGAGGTCCAGAAAACGGGACTTAAAATGTACTTACTTAAGACTTAAAATTTGTTCTAATGTAGGTATTTTGACACAAAATCGCACTTTTTCTGAAATGACATTTTCTTTTCGTGCCAACGTTTTGACGATTTTTCACGTCGAGATACAGTTTTTCTCACATTTGTATTCTACGATGCCAAATTGCCAAGTTTTGCAAAAATCCTGCAAGGAGTTTTTAAAAATTAGCTCTCAGAATTTTAGCTTCTCAGTGTTAATTGAATTTGAAAAATATTAATTAATAGCTCTTTCTTTAACTAAACTTACTTCATTCCTTTTTTCAAAGTTCAAAATTTGTGTTCAATCCAAATAAAATTGCAGATATTTTCTGATTTATTTTTTAAATTTATATTTTGTAGTAAGTTTTATAAATTTTCCGAAAAAACTTTCACTTATGACCTATAAAATGTTTCCTGTCATCTTAGATGTATTTCTAAGCATATCTGGAAAGAGTTTTTTTTAATTAAAAATTGAGTTTTTTTATTAAATTGAGTTTTTTTATTAAAAATTGAGTTTTTTTATTAAAAATGCCCTAAGATATACATGGATTTACATACTGGCGAATTTTGAAATTTGGCATTTTTGTTTTAAGCAATAATAATGCCTAGTTTAAGGATCTAAATGTAACAACTATGATTAAAAACTATATTATAAAAAAATTATATGAAAGAATGAAAGAAACAATTTTTTTCCCTCTCGTGCATTATGAAAGGAAAAAGAAAATAGGTTAGCAAAACCAACCGAAATTTTTTTTCAGTTTGCGCCAATTCATTTCGCAAGCTGAAAAAAGTCCAAGATAAATTTTTGAATATCTCGGTAAGTTCCTCACCAACTTTTACAAAATTTAATATTTGGGCATAATTTGAGTCTTAGAATCGAAATTTGGGTATGAAGCATGATATTATATAAAAGTACCTATGTTATAACAATACTACGTATAAATCTAATATATTATTTCCAAAGTCATGCTTTCGAGACATGGCAAGCGCAAATTAAATTTCGTCAATCTGCCCAGTAGAACGGGAGATGTAAAAACAGACTTCTTTCTGTGTGTGTGCAGAGTGTACATACCTTTTCGAATGACAATGCGTTTAAGTATGTTTTATTGCAGTTCTCATTTTTGATTTCATATGAATATTTTCTTAGGAATAGTTTATAAGGTATTCTAACCTTCCATACCGTCTCGGAGTTGTGCAATAAAGCCGACACTTTGGCTTGAACTTAAGAGACTAAGAAGTAAACTAAACTAAACTAAAAGAGATGTAGCCGAAGCTATCAAGATTCTAACAGAGTTGGCCCCTTAACGCTAATTGACTGCGAAGCTATGAATGGCCTAAAGTACGGCCGAGCGTAATAATAGCTGACGAGAAAGTAGCCTAAAAAAGCGGATGCATGCAGCCAGAATATCTGGTACCTCTCTCACTAAGACTGTAGAACATCGCGGTTATATACCGCTCTTTCTCATTAGCATTCAGACGTGCTTCTAAAACTACGTTCTGGCCGGAAGTAGTATGTTGAAGTAAGAATCGATAGGAAATGAAGTTTAACTCAAAATTTAACTGTTAATAAATTAATATAATACTTACAGCTTCTTTCAGAAATGATCTAAGGCCCACCAGCGGACGAGCGGTAAAGCCTCTGAACACTGGTAGTTCGGTCCGAGGTTCGAATCCCGCGAACGGGCTGGCTGCATGGGTGTTTTTCGTGGTTTTTCCCATGTGTAACGTGTAACGAGCCATTTCCCTTAGAAAGTCCTCCACGAAGGCATCCCTCCCCTTAGGCAGATAGCCCTAGTGTGCTTTGCCATAATTAAATACACCAACACCAGAAATGATTTAAAATATTCTATAGTATGTTGCAAGCGGACCGAAGAAACAAAGAGGAAAGACTCTTCAAATGATGTCTTATCTAGTTTTTATCGATCAGGACTAATTGAAGATATGCACTAGCATATGAAAAAGATTAAATTCTAACATTATAATAGTATTTAAGGAGCTACATACACATTTATTTCTGTTTAAATATACCTTATGCTATCAGAACTTGAAGAACTAAAATTTCCAATTTCGTAATATATTTTACATATTTCTTTATTCACATAGTTGGCCTAATGCAAGTAACAGCAGAATACGGTTATTGTTAGTTAAAGGATATTATGAAGGTATGAGAATAAAGCTAAATTTTTCTTTTTCAGAATCACTGAATCGTTAAAACAACAGCAATATCGTTAAAACAACACGTATGTCTTTGAAATAGTATTATTCAGAAAGATAAAAATTTTCTGTAAGCATAAGGGATGAAATAATATATCCCTTTATTTAGTTGCATTTACAAAATTCATTTGATAAAGAAACACAAAAGCTAAAAGATTTTCCTCCTGCTCATATATTTTTAAAATTTAGTGCAATCCTGTAGTGGCTTGATCCACCGAAATTAACGAAATATGTGGAAAGATATTTCTGCGCTTTTTACGGACAAAAGACAAAGGAAATAAGACAAAGGAAATATTCGCCCATATTTTTGTTTCTTAAAACTTACCCAAATTTAAAGAAGGTCTTATATTTGATGGGTGTCTAGTTTAGAACAGATACAGTACATATAAAAGCGTTCAGGTGTATGTGACTTGAAGGTTTCTAACTTTCCTTCAGTTTTTTTAAACGTATGGGAATACTAATTTTGAAGCCTGGATTTCCCTCGTTGGTATAATCTACGAGGCTATGCGAGTACACTAGAAGCAGAATTAAATAAATTTATCAAGCTTAATTTATGTATGAAAGTATACACTTCTGATAATTGTTTGGTTAAGACTTGAGTTATAGATATATCGGTTATTCATTGTATATCCTTAAGTTTTTTATCTATTATTTTATCTTATTTTTTATTATTTTAGTTTTTAAAATAATAGTTTGAGTTTTTTAAACATAAATAATGTTAGTTTTTATTTCATATTTATTTTTATTACAGTTTTTCCTGTTACGTAAAATCTATCATTATTGTAACCAACAAAAATTATATTTTGCACCATTCTTCTTTTAACTTCGTTATAAATGACACCAAACATTTACATTATCAGTTAAATAAAAATGCCAAAACTTGATGTTATTTAAATATTAGTTACAAAGTAAGAGTAGAGGGATATAACTGTGTGTATTCAATAATTCTTTAAATAGCAAATAACTGTGTTACGGACAATGAAGTGCAATAACACAAATTGAGCAAAAAAAAAAAAAAAAAAAAAAAAAAAAAAAAAAATAGGAAGAGGGGCGTGGAATGGTTAAATCTTATTTATCTTTTTCTTTTAGATAAATCTTTCAGGTGTAAAATTAAACTTGAATGTAAAGTTCAGACTTGAAATTGTTAATTTCTTAATGTATACTTTTACGTATTAGCCGAATATCTTTCAGCATGGTTCTGACGTTTCACCGCTCCTTGGCGGGACTTAGGAGAATGTATTACAATTGGATAAGTATCCTTGTAAAAATAACTGATTATATTATGTTATCAGACTGAAAAATCAACTTGTCCATGCGGTATTGCGTATTTCCGCCACACAACAGCAGCTGTGAATAATGTGAGAGACATTCAGGAAGTTTGCGGAGCTCCTGTTATATTGCTGTTTTTAGACTTAACTGATTAAGAGAAAAGGTCTTTGAACTGTAGCTATTCTTTTTGCTTTGTATATTTTAAAAGTTTAATTCTCTCGAAAAAAATTATCAGAGCAAATGAATATTCAAGTAAAGTAAGATCACAAATGTGAAGATGCCATGCAAACGGCTAAAAATGACAAGATTATCCTGCCGTAAAAAGCGCGCAGAAATATCTTTCCACATATTTTCGTGAATTTCGGTGAATCAAGCTAGTACAGGATTGAACTAAATTTAAAAATATATGAGCAAGAGGAAAATCTTTTAGATTTTGTGTTTCTTTATCGAATGAATTTTATAAATAAAATGAAGTAAAGGGATATATTATTTCATCTCTTATGTTTATAGAAAATTTTTATCTTTCTGAATAATACTATTTCAAAGACATACGTGTTGTTTTAACGATATTGCTCCAAAGAAATACGCATAGTTTTAATTAATATCATTTCTAGAAAATGTGTATCCTTTTAAGTAATATTGCTTTTAGCAAATGTTTTATTATCTTACTTTGAAAGTTACTGGAATAAAGAAATAGAACTTTTTCTGCAAATATCGGACTTAAAACTTTCTATTGATAATACGCTGAGTTGATTTTAACATTTTTTCTCACTCTTCTAATTTTTAATTTCCCATTGCAAGAAAATCCTGAGACAGTTGTAAACAACCCCTTATTGAAAAGTTCTTTGCATTGTCGAAACCAGTTTTGTACTATCGTTTGTCATCGTTTTCGATAATAAATAGACCTTTTCTTGTTATTTTCATTTAGTTAAATCTATGCTTCAAGGGTGGGAATGTATTTCCATTAATTTTCTAATTAATAATTTTATACTGAGTTCTATAAATTGTTCTGCTTTAAACCCCATATCTCGGCAAAGCTGGTGAATATTATGCGTTTAAGCGTTTTTAAGTTGTAAATATTCTTTTAGTACTGTATTTATTGTCGATACAGATGTATTTCAAGACTTTCCAATTGATTCCAGCTTCGGCGGATTTTTTTTTGTTACCAACGATTTAACTTTAGAAAAAGCACGAGCGTTTTTCAGGTATTTGAAGTCTTCTTTCCATGTAGACATAATGATTGATGGGATTTCCCTTTCGTTAATAGCATTGCTTATTTTGATGTCTTTTACAAAGTTTTTGAATTATAGAATAGGAATATTTCTCTTAAGAAAGCGTAAAAGCATATAATTTAATAGTCAGCTAGTTTACGTGTGATATTTTGTAAAAAGAACAAATTTTAAAGTAGCAGACGATATTCTAATTTCAAATAATAAGCTGTTGCCAGAAATTTTTATTCCCAAACATTTGCTTTCTTTAATTCTTTATCAAAGTCTTTCTAAAAGTGTGTAAACATCCTGTGCAAAAAAGTGAAAGGTGTCTCATAAAATTTGTACTTAAAAAGAATTCAATTCAAAGAGCATAATCTAGATTAATAAATTAAAGAAATAAAGACTTATAGTTTTTGTTCTATGTCAGTAGTCATCACGGCAGCATTGATGCTTCCCTGAACTGTACATGGCATTGAGAATAAGCGAAAACCCAAAGTACCACAAAGAAAAAAGTGTTTGAGAGCATCTGTATTTTTATGCATTATTTACTACACTGAACAAATAACACTGTAAAAAATACAATACTCTGAAATCAGATGAATCATTTATAGTAGCCTACTACTGATATATTTTTTAAAAATATGGTATTCTGAAATCGGATGATTCTATATAGAAGCTAGAAATTTTTAGAACATAGTTAACCAAGCTTCAGTTTTGTTTATATAGTAATAATAAGAAAATGTTTCTCCTTTTTTGATAGATTTTTTTCTGTTTCTGTTAGCATAGGAGCCGCACTACAGTTCAAGAAATGATAGTAGAATCAAAATTCAGAACGAAGACAGTAATATCAAAGAACCACCAGAATGTTGTCCTCGTTGCGTGTTCAGGTAACATTATGCACCTATCTGTTTTATTGATTCTGTAGCAGGTTAAGTGTACATGTGTCTAAAGTATCCAGTGTCAGTTAAAGGAAGAACATTGTCTAATAATTGATTAATTAATCTTTTTAGCAATCATTCAATCCTACTTCAAATTTATGATTCTTCGTAATTCATGTTATGCAGCAAAATATTTTAATTGATAAGAATTTGTTAAGTTAAAAACTGCACTCATGACAAAGAAATCCAGTCTTGGAGAAACAGTAAATCACAGTTTTTTGAGGAAACATGGGGAGGTAACATTACAAAAATGGGTTCTAATAAAGGAATGTGTCCACTCCTAGCTGCAATACATTGGCACAGCGACGTTCCATGCTATATATTAGGTTGTCGGTCAGTGAAATGGGAAGCAACGATCAGACACGGAGTAATTCTTATTCAGTTTCATCTAACAACCTTGGAGAAGGGCTTCAGCAATATGTCTCCCAAAGTAGACCCGAAGATGCTCTATCGGATTCAGGTCTGAGCATTGAGCTGGGCATTTCATCCGCTCCATACCGTGACCCTCAAGATATTCTTCAGCACCGCAAGCTCGGTGCGGTCTCGCATTGTCGTCCATCAGAAGAAATTCAGGATCAATAGCAGCGGCATATGGGCGGACATATTGATCAAGAATTTCGTTTCGATATCTCCTACCGGTCAAAGTTCCTCCATAGAACACATACAGGTCAGTGTGACCACCGAGAGAGATCCCAGCCCAAACCGTTACCTCTGTAACTGTGCCTTTTCACAATGAGGTATTGGTTTTATCTGGTGCGTTGTTCCCTCCAGATCAGCTGACGACCTGAATCACTCTCCAGTGTGAACCTGGACTCGTCTGTGAAGAGCAGCATAGGCTTGTGACATCCCCATTTCCATCCATCCAATCATCCGCTTCCTCAACAAATTGGGCAAACGACTTCTCCTGGACATTGATAGATTTTCCTAGATATTGTCCGCAAAACTGCAGTAACAATTAAAATCAACACTCGTGAGTAAAAATTGCAATTTTTGCTCCAACTGTTATATAAATATTCATTTCTATAAAATAAAAGTGGTAACTATTGGTTTTGCATATATTTTCTTAACCTTCGTTACTGTCATGAATATGAAGTGTGAATTTAAACGTTACTGATATTTTTCTAATGGTGAACTTTCAAAAACATGCTCTCCCTTAACTTTTGGAGAGCAGTGTATTTTACCATGAGCATCAGAGACATTTTAGTCACAGTCGCATACATCTTGCTTTATACGTCATTCTTAGTTCATAGTAAAACTTTATTTTGCACCTACATTTTTTTATAAAACTGAGTTAATACTTGTCCTCCTCCACCCACATACAGATGTGCATAACATCCTCTCTCGTATAACCCCACAAGATAACCTTTTGTTATGAACAAATGGAAGTGAAAATCGATATAATGTTGCCAGAAATGTTTCAGTTAAAGTAACAAGATATAAACGGAAAAGAAGGAATAGGTAGCATGTGATGTTATATATCAGACATTTTAAGAAGTCCTAGATACGTTATGTCACTTGACTTCTGACGTTATCACAAATCCTGTCTACATTACTTCGATAAATTACGGACTATAATTCGATTCTTGGTTTATTTTGAATATTTCGATGAAAAATCTTAAAGCTATATTACTTATTTTCCATTCATTATATACCCATTTCTCCTTATAATTAGTTCTCAATTTAGGTTTCGGCCCACCAGCAGCCGAGCGATAATGTCGCTGAACAGTGGTAGTTCGGTCCGAGGTTCGAATCCCGCGAACGGGCTGGCTGCATGGGCGGTTTCTTGGTTTTCCCATGTGTAACGTGTATACGAGCCAGTTTCCCTTAAAAGGTCTTCCACGAAGGCATCCCTCCCTTAAGGCAGATAGCCCTCGAGTGCTTCGCCATAATCTAATAAACCAATTTAGGTTTCTATTTTTTAGTTAATTTGTTTATACCCGTTGTTAGGTGCTTCCCCATGTTTGGATTGTACCAATTCTTTTAAATTCTAGTTTATTTTTTTATTCATTGTTTCGAACTTTACTTTAATTGTTAATAATTTTCAGTTAATTGTATATTCTGATTGTTGAACTTATTTTATGTTACCAGATCTTTATTACTGATAAGAACTTTTAAGTTATTTCACGTGAATTAACCATTTATTATAATTTAATTATTTACTATAATTTCTTCTTTCCATATTCCTCAGCAGAATGGAAAGTAGGTTTGTGTGTGTTTAAGCTGAGGGTTTTGAATGCTTACATTAGATACAGTTTGGGCAGCCGCATCTTGCTCTTATTTAAAACTCTCGTCAGCTCTAGTTACATTATAGAAAAGTTATATTCCATCTTTAACATCTTCCTAGCCGAAGCTTTAAAATACACATCGATAAAACTCTGAGCCAGCTTAATTAATGAATATTTATGTTTTCAATTTAACTGTCTGTTATGTAAATTTATATACACGCAAGTAACAAAAGTTTCATCTGTAGCAAAGGCACACCAGTGGCCGAGCTTTAACGTCGCTGAACACTGGTAATTTGGTCTGAGGTTCGAATCCCGCGAACGGGCTGGCTGCATGGGTGTTTTCGTGGTTTTCCCCATGTGTAACGTGTATACGAGCCAGTTTCCCTTAAAAAAGTTCTCCACGAAGGCATCCCTCCCTTAACGCAGATAGCTCTCGAGTGCTTTGCCGTAATCTAATAAACCAAACCAACCATCTGTAGCAAAAGTTGTACCTGTTCTGCTCAATTTAAGACAAAACGTTTCTACTTACAGGTTTGATGGCCAGTTTGTGATGGCAGGGCTCCTACAGCAAGGTACAGCGCCAGAAGTGATTCCTAATGGGTCTATGATCACGAGTTTAACAATGTCTGAACATTCGGGTCATAGACTCATTTTTACCGATTGCACTGTCCCAGCTTCGGGGTGATTCAGTCTCAGTGCGCCCTTCTTCAACTGTCAGACTCTATATAAATTATTTCGGACATAGCGATAACTCATTGTCAGGGTGTGTAGGACAATCTTGTAGAGTCTGCAGGACAATCGCTCAGTCTAATACACTATTAAAGGTTAAGATAACTTTTTTTATTTACTCTTAAATTGAACAGAACAGGCACAAGTTGTTCTATAGACGAAACTGCCATTATTCCACATAACAGACAAATAACGTTGAATAGTGAATGGTTTTCTTGTCACATTATTGTGACTTAAAGGAAAGAGATCCATTATGCACGAAATTTAAATTACTTTTTGCTAAACGCCCACCTGTTATATCAGTAGATTAATTCATATATATTTCTAAACTCTGAAGGCTCTAAACTTTCACCTGTGGGTTCTTCGTATATGTTTATTTTTTAGCAAGCAGAGAAAAATCTCTGCATTTTTTGCCTGTGATATCAAGAATATTTTCATTCGGAAAATAATTAAACGAAGTAACACTATTTTTTCTTCTTTTGTTTTCCTGAAAAAAATTATGTTTTTCACTTTATAAATTTGGAGTGAGCAATGTCAAATAATAAATTCTGTGAAAACATTTTAGATTGATTAACATTTGAAATCCTATTTGAATATTGATATTGCAAAATTTCATTGTAAGAATTTGATCTCATGATGCAAGCAAATAAATAATACTATGGCACTATCTGTATTCCGTTTTAATGTATTTAAAATACGTGTATTTTTTTCTTAACATATGAAGCACAGTATAAAACTAAATTCTTGTAAAAAGCAAATCTGAAAAACTATAAAATGTTTATTCTTTTTCAGGCATTTTGACACTGATGGCAGACCTTTCTTCATTTGCTGGAGAAAAAGTCGAAAATTCATTCTTAAAATTGTGGACCACAAGGCGTTTGAATGGATTATTTTGCTCCTCATCTTTTGCAGCAGTGTCGTCCTGGTACACTAATTTCATTTCTAATATTCATAACTTCATTTTCGGAAACTGAAGTTTTAATTTATATAAAAATAAATAATTACCAAATAGTCATTATTGTTTTTATTTTCTGCCGTTAATGATTATTTTTGTCGTTTCTTCTCTGCTTGAGAGTCTAAAACTATTTTAGAATATGTACGAGGCGTATTCCGAAACTAAGTACGGTTTTGAAAAAATAAAAAAAAATAAAAAAAAAAAAATAAAAGTAAAACAATTTTTTCGAATCCAATTTATTTTTTACATGAAAATACATGTCTTAAACTATTTTTCAACATAGTTTCCGCCAATGATCAAACACTTGTCATAGCGGGTGACCAGTTTTTGTATACCATCGTCAAAGAAACTTCCCGCTAGTTTCGATAACCACGACTCCACAGCATTTTTCGTGTCATCGTCAGATCCAAAGCGCTTGCCACCAAGCTCGCGCTTCATGTGCAGGCACAAGTGATAGTCGGACGGCGCCAAGTCTTGGCTATACGGCGGGTGATCGAACTGCTTCTAATGAAACTGTCGAATTAACGATTGAGTGACACCAGCAGTATGGGGCCGAGCATTGTCATGGAGCAACACAATTCCTTTACTGAGCATTCCTCTTCGTTTGTTTTGAATGGCACGCCTTAGTTTTGTTAAAGTCTCACAATATCGTGCCGCATTAATGGTTTCAACTCTGGGAAAAATTCAGTAAGCAAAACGCCTTTCCTATCCCAGAAGATGTAATATTAGCATACGTTGTGTAATAATTAGATGTAGTATCAGCATTGCTCATATAAATATGTAATACGATCAAAAAGAATACGATTTTATCTTATATCGTTAATGTTTCATAGACCTGTCACTCGTATATATCGCCACATACGTCTGCGCCTTGCCCGGAATTTGAAATTCCAGTTCTTTGACTTAGAAGCTGTCTTCTTAGCCCGCTGGGAAGCGCGAGGGGTGTGTCATACCCCAACCCTACAAAATAGTCGAATATTCCTAACTTATGAAATTAAAATTGTGTGTTGCATTCAGTAGCTGAGTTTCTAAAGGTTATAACGTTGCGCGCCTCCAACTTGCACGCAACCAAGAGGTGACTATGAAAACTTGTATAAAAGATAGAGCCTTGTGAAGGGTTTAAGTCCCTTTTTATTCAACGTAATAAATTACAATTGCGTCCTCTTGACGCTTACAGACTGTGCCAACTTGGCAGTCAAATAAAAATAATAACTTGAAAAGAAAGTAAAGACAAGATTCTAACTACGAGGCTCTCTAAAATAACTAACTCACCGCGGTTTACAATACCGCTGCTAATTCAGCAGACTTGAAGCTCACTGGAACGATTACCACTACTTCCCGCCAAGCACATAGGCCGCAACGCGGGGTTCTTCAATTCTCGCTAACTACCTCCGCGCTCGCTAAGTAGAATATCACACCGAACTCGTTTCCTTCTATTTAAATCATAATACTTCCGCTGATAATTTGAATGCTTGCGCGTTCTACTAAAATTTACATATTCTGGCATTGGCAGTTCCAGGGGAAAATAAGGCTTGACAGGAAAGATAGTTTAAACTTAAAATAAATGTTAGTTAAAATAAATATAAACCCTACAAGGTGGTTGACTTTCAGAACCACTTTTCCGTTTCTTGTGTGTTTCAGAAAAAGATTTATCGGTATTTTGTTGCAATTGGGGTGTGACACACCCCACGCGCCTGTCCGCATAAGTGTTTATCTGACTGAATATTTATTTGAGAAATTTATTTCTAGAGTGTAACAGTATATATTTCTTGTGTCAAAAAGAATGAGTCCTTATGAAATGGAGATGCAACGGCTTTGAGATTTATTAGAAATAATTGAAAGTGATGAAGATTGCATTTCGGAAACTGATGATGAAAATAGGAATGTTTTCTACGCTGTTTGGTTTTGAAAAAGATAAATCATTAATTTCTTACGTTCCTAAAAAAAGGAAAAACTGTTCTTATGCTTTCAACATTACATAACGATAATGCTATAGATGATACAACTGTAGAACAGAAAACGCCAGAAATTATATGTTCTTATAATATGTTTAAGGTATCAGTGGATGTTGTGGGTGAAATATCAGTAAATTATTCAATTGCCAGAATAACAAGGAGGTGACCAATGGTAATTTTCTTTTCTGCACTGAATATTGCTGCAACAAATGCTCGAATTATATTACTTTCAACTACTAATTCACCAACCAGATACAGAAGCAGATGTCCGTTTTTAAGCGACTTGACATTACAATTAATAAAAAAAGTATTGAACAATGATTAGAGGTTAATACTTTACCGAGAAGTTCACGTACTGCTTGAAAGAGAAAAGCAGAAGTTTCGACGAATAATTCAAATGAATATATGAAATTCGAAGCAACTAAGTATAAAAGATCTGATGAATACCCTCAAGAAGATTCCGAATGCGATGTTTAAAATATGAAAACTTTCTGTGCCAAGAACACGTGAATGCACTTTGTTCAAAATGTAAACCGATAAAATAAGCATTGTGCATTAGAGATGCAATAAAACTTAGAGGTATGATGTTTATTTTGTTATTATTTTCATTTATCTTAATTTTAACTCTCTATAAGGCTATTTTTGAAATTGAGTTTTTGTAACTCAAGTATTATTCACATATTATAAAAGAAACACAGGTTTAAAACTAAACAAAAATATTTTATCGTATTTTAAATTATTGGGATATGTGATACTCCATGTGCCCGTCACTTTTCTTGATGGGCCTTCCGCCGGGTTAACCACTATACAGAATCCCGTGATCAGTATGCTGGTTAATGAATACGTATCTTGTAATAACAAAACGCATTTGTAATCTAATTTCTGCTCCAAGTACCCTTCCGAAGAAGGAATAGTAATATTTTTGAATTAATTTCATTCAGTTGAATAAACGCTTTTTAAAATTTATGTCAGAAATAATACTTCATTTCCAGTGCTTTGAAGATGTCTTTCTGCCTGAAAAGCCTCTGTTGATGAAAATTTTAGGATTTTTCAATCTATTCTTCACAGCATGTTTTGTTCTGGAAGTTTTACTTAAATGGATGGCCTATGGCTTTGTCATCTACTTTAGCAGCTTATGGACTACGATGGATTTCATCATTGTTTGCGTAAGTTGACTGTTTTTTTAATTTTTTGTTTTGGTTTTCACACAAAAAAATTGAATAACTAATGATCGCCTTATAAAATCAGAAACAATGCATACAGACATACTGTATCTATTTTAAGGAACCATTTTTAACGCTTACCCTAAATGTTTTATGTATTTTCTTCGGTTTTATCCAATGTATTGCATTTAAAATGCTGCTTATTTAAATTTATTATTTATTTTTTCTTATGTTAATTTTAAACATAAAATTTTGGAGAAAGGTCCAGATTAGTTTTATCCATTTGAGAAGAAACTCTTGTGGTAAACTCCATTCAAATCCATAGGACCTTTTTCTAAAATTTGCATTAACATTGACAAAAATATGTAGCCAGTTTATATTCATGTTTTGATGTTATAGGTATCTGTGGTGAGTATTGTAGCTGAAAGTTCTGGAAGTGGCCTTTACGTTCTCAGAGCTTTTCGGACATTGAGAGCTCTGCGTCCTCTCAGAGCTATATCGAGATGGGAAGGCATGAAAGTGAGCAATTTCTAATCAAATTACTGTTAAGATGAAATTCAATTAAATATATAGGCTTATTTTGTGTAAAAAAATCAGTATATTTATCAATACCATAAATAAGAATAAATACTTGGGGATCTATAAGTAACAAATTTTGTTGAGAAAGCTTTTCATATATATTCTGCATGGTACATTACATTGTAGATACCCCTATGGTGTTCTACTTGTCTTATCTATATGGAGCATTGTCACTACCTTTAAAATATTTGGTCAAACAGAGTAGGTTTGATCAGACTTAGCAGTCAACTGAATGATTCTGGACAAGCCGTTAAATAGTACTTCAATAGATCTTTTACCTTTGCTGATGTTAAACCCCGGTTGTTCTTGATCTAAACTGAAACTGGGCATGAACAGATGATCATCACGTTTAATTGGTTTAAGCCGATAAATGTGGAATTAGGCTAAGCACATAATGAGTGGTTTGCATTAAAGCTGAATAATCAATTCCACTTATACTTTCCTCCAGAGTCATGATTAGTTATCTTCTAATTCTCCTTTTTTATCAGATTTTCTTGCCGTAATAGCTAATGCTTACCTTTTCATTCTGAAAATCGTCAGATCTTTTTGAAAGTGTAATATGTAGGGAGATTAAAACGTTATGTAATTACAAAAAATAATTTATATACAAGTTAGTAACTAGTTGGTTTATTTCTTCTTGAAATATGAGTTACACATATTTTATCAATATAATCTTCGCCCTTTGTACTGCATTTCTTCAGGTACAGGCATCTTGATTCACGCATCTGTTGTTCTTAAATACATTACTGTAGCTCAAATACATTGTCTTTACTCTTAAATATCTAGATATTTCTGAAGCTTTCTGATAATTTCCTCTATTCTTGTAAACTTTCTCAAGCTCAAGATCCTCAATGTTTTGCAGAACGCTGGAGATCAATAGGTGTTAAATCAGAAAAATAAAGTAGATTTTTAATCAAATTAATTCCCGACGCCTTTGTGAACGGAGTAATTTAGTCATGAATATCACAAACTATGGACCTATTTCTTCAAGGCAAGCATAAAAATCAGTGGAAAATAATATTTAAAAATGTTCATTGACTAAACATTAAAAAGTATTCCAGCATCGAAATCATTTATATAATAACGTACAGACTTCTTGATCTTTCAAACAGAACATTTGAGATAATAAATCTATGAACTACATAAAATAAAAAAGTTGGTACGTATGAAAGTCTAATCCCGAAGATTACTAATCTATTAAAGTGAGTTTCAAATAATATTTAAAAACGTAATTTCGAAATAAGTAAACATTGATTTTGTTAGTTTATAATGTTGTCTTTTAAGATGGGCTAATATATGTTTTTTAGATCAAACCATCAATCTATGAAGTTCTAGTTAATTTACGTGTCCTTGGCTAGTAGAAATTTAGTGAAAAGTCTAGCGACTATTCGCTGGTCTTCTTATAAATATAAGAATGACTCCAAAGCAGGGTTAAAATACCCTTTTATTCACTCACATAAATAATACAGTCGGCCTCTTCTCGGGCTTACAGAAAAGCCTCCGCTTGCGTTTTAAGTTAAGATAGAAAATAAGGAACTAAAGAATTTCTAACTAGCTAAAATTTAGCCGAAACTGTACAAAAATAACTAACCGAGTTGGCCTGTAATTAAACCTTACTAGCGAATACTAACAGGCACGTAAGACCATGGCCAAACATAGTAAGATACTTAAAGCAACGACATGACCCGAAGTCAGAACCTGCTTTACTGAGAACTTCTGAGATCTTCTATGGAAGTGGCTAAACTTCTCATTAAAGACTGGTTCTACTTCATTTACATAAAACGCGATACTGAAATCTCATTCTAGTAGGGATTTCTAGGTGGGAAAATAATCCCGGCAAATCATAAATGCCAATCAAAGCAATACATTCTTTGAAATATATGATTTGTTAGTTATTCTATGATGAGTAATAGAGCCGTCATCACGTTTCCTCTTAAAATATTAGAATACTAGATTACTAAGATTAATATTAATATTAAATGAAATAAATAAATTTGCTAAATACTCCGAAATTGGGCACATCAATGAAGCATTTCAAGTAACCATTTGATTAGCATAGACTGAAGTTTCAGCGAAATCATAGAGTTAAGGCATTTATTTTGTTTCCCAGTATTAGCCCGCATGGGTCTCCATCACTGATCCATAATGATGGAAAAAAGCATGAACCACACAAAAGGTTCCATTTGATGCATAGTGTTACATGCAAGTACTGGAATACACGGGCCAGTAAAATCTATTAAAAAAATTAATAGATTTCTGAAGAAGTTTTTATAAAAAATATCATTAAGTAAGCACAGAAAAAATTTGGACCGAAAACAAAGTTTCTTTATTCTTAAATTATCTGTATAAAAATATTTTAAAGCTATTTGCTTCAATTAAGGAATCTTTGTTGAAGTCTGCAAACCACCATCTGATCTCGCAGTGAACTTACCGTGAAGTAGAATTCCACCTTCGTAAATAACCTCCGGAAAGATACATGAGAAGGCGTACTGAAAAATTCGGTCGCTTTTAGACTAATTCCCGGCCGTTATTTCGAGGTCAAAGATTATACTTTCGAATGAAGCCAATTAAACAGCTGTTGACATAGCTTTGTGTCAAGCGGAATATTCAGTATTTCCCCCAGGATCATTTTTCGAGAAAATTATGAAAAGAACAGAACGATAGAAATGAGGGAACATAAATCTGCATGTCGAACGAATATATGTCTCATATCTTAACTATATTCTTGATGCATTCGTGTTTAGTGTTTTACTTAACAAGACACCCTGCTCGGATCATTAGATAGGCTTTCTTTTTAATATTCATTTACGAGAAATTTGCGTAAGAAAACTGAAATAATTTTAACAGTATCATACGTAATTCGTTAAATTAATGATACAGACAAATTCAAAAATGTTTAAAAATATTTATGCAAATGAATGCCACGCTTAGACAAATATTCATTGGCTCCTTTATTTCAGATTGTAGTCAACGCCTTAATGTCAGCTATTCCTTCAATCTTCAATGTTCTGTTGGTATGCCTCGTTTTTTGGTTAATCTTCAGTATAATGGGTGTGCAGTTTTTCGGTGGGAAATTTTACCGATGCGTGGATGAGACTGGACGGACCTTACCCGTAGAAGTGACGCCGGACGTCGGACAATGTATGGTCCTGAATTATTCATGGGTGAATCGAGACATCAACTTCGATAACGTCGGAAATGCTTATCTTGCTCTCTTTCAGGTGGTAGGTAGGCTGACAAAAATTCATTGCTTGCAGTGAATTTTCCAAACTTTCTGAGACCTTTCTTGTGTTTTTTTATTTACTTGTTCATTTTGATAGAATGGAAGAAAATGGAAATAAAAATAATTATTACCGATAACATATCGTATTTTATCTATTACCTCTTTACGATACTTTAGCACCAATTGATGAGAAACATTCCACTGAATTACATGATAACTATTTATGGTATTTACGTATTAACGCAACCACCGTGGCGCAAATTGACGAATTTTTACAGATGAAAAGGTAAAAGTTAGTTATCAGCTGCAAGTTGGTGTTTTCTAGCCTTTTTTTGAAAGATACCCAAACTATCAATATTTATCGAAGTCGGTAAATGTTATGAAATGTGAAAAAAACATAATTTTGCAATTTAAAATAAAAATTTGAATTTTTAAATAAGATAATGCATTAAAAAAGTAAAACACTTACGTTCTTCTACAAATTTTTTTGTAATTTGTTGTACTGTATTCTCCTTCCGAAATACATAGCGATCTTTTTTCGCTTATAAAAACACGGACATTCAGCTTCGTGCAATTTTTGGCAACAGCGGCTATATATAAAACAGATTTCCTCTTTGTCCCCCTAAGAAAAATTTCGGCAAAATTCTGCATTCTTTCAGAAATTCTGTATTCCTTCAGAAATTTTACTGCAGGTTCTCCTATTATTGGCAAATTTCAAGAACTTCTATTTTAAAAAAGTTTAAGGCAAAAGACATCATGATTTGTTTATGAAAACCGCTGGAACTTGGAATACAACAAAAAAGAACGCATACGGAAATTGCAGCATTGCTTGACTAAAGGTTTTTTATGAGTGTGGTTGTTGGAAGAATGCTTATGATCATGGTTGCCGGAAGAATAATTATGCGCATGGTTTAGCCCATTCTAAATATTTACGGATTTCTACCAAGGTAGTTGCGTTAATGCGTAAGTGTCTTATTTCTTTGATAATTGAATTCTATAACGTTTATGTACTTACTCTCTGCGAGCACAGAGTGAGCGATAAAAAAAATGTAAAATCAGACTTAAGCCGGGTCTGTCTTTTTTCAAAGAACTCTGTCAACTCGAAGGAGTCAAGTGCCAAAGTCTCTGTTTTTCTTGCGCAAAGGTAAAAAAGTATTCTACCAAATATTCTAATTGCCTCCCTGAAGATGAGAGAACTCTCGTTTCTTAGTGTTATCGAAAAAGATATCAGGGTAAAACTTTACTATTCAGATTGACCTTTTTTCTATGAAACCAAATCTGAGTTTTCCTTTTGAAAAAGGAGGAATTTCATTACCCATTTCACATCTACTAAGTTTTCTTGAAATCTAAAGATAACATAAGGCTGATTTTTGCTTAATTTTATAGCTGGAAATTTCATGTGCCTTTTCTACATAGATAACATAAGATTTAGGTTGCAATATAAGGGATAACAGAACTTTACCCTTAATCATACAGGTATTGTCGCATTATAATAGCCTAACTGAGAACTTGCCTCAAGCGAATCCCAGCAAGTTTCTCTGCCGACCACCTTTTCCAGCATGCTTTGATGTATCACACTAAATAGTTTATGTTACTCCTATTTAACATACATATAAATTTCTTCTCTTAATGATTTATTTTTTATTTGTTATTTTTATTATGTTAAAAATTAAATTTTATGAATCTCTGTCGTTGCATTTTCTTTTATTCAGGCCACTTTCGAGGGATGGACAGAAGTAATGGAATATGCTACTGACACGACTGAAGTAGGTCAGCAACCGTACACCGAAGCTAACTTTCCTGCTTACATTTACTTCGTAACCTTCATCATTTGCGGCTCCTTCTTCACGCTTAATCTATTCATAGGAGTCATCATCGATAATTTTAACATGCTGAAGAAAAAGGTGAGCGATCATAATCTGGAATCTATATGTGTACTATTTAGATTTTGAAAACAGATTAAGAGCATTTGTATCCTAGATAATTTATGTAAGTTGTATAGAAATTAAGTATGTATCATATTATCTCTTGAATGGCAAGGAAGTCAATAAAATAATAATCACGATTGAACTCATTTAGCTATTGTTAGATTAAGTTGCTGCAATGTGCTATCGCTTAACCTGAGCGATCAAGGTCCTAATGCATTGTGTCAGACAATGTCAGCGACGTACGCATTTCTGTTGGGTTTTACCTTATTTTTAGATAGAGTTTCTTAGCTTTCTTTTCTAATATTTAAAACTGTTAACTATTTTTATCCTTACCTCATTCTGTATGTAAAGATATTTTATTTTAAAACTATATAGAAATATTCACGATTTTTCTTCCAGAATAATGGAAAAATTACTACTCCTGAATGACTGTTTATACTAAATCCGAGAATACAAATTTTGGAATTTTTACTTTTGTCAAATTATGAGCTTCGTTTACGTTTAAGTTTTGTTTATTTAATTTATATTTATTTCCGCAATTTAGTTCTGTATCTTGCAGAGGTAACAAACTAGATATTTGAAGTCCTGTCTAAAGAGGTATCTATTCTTATTTTATTATTTGAAAACATTGTAAAAACTTTAGGACTTTTTTTGGAAGCAGGCAAGATGAAAAATGAGCAAAGCCTTTCCCTCTGGAATATGCGCCTAGCATGCAGACCACTACACCACGAAGACATGCTAAGAAGGCGGAATAAATACCTTATAACATATAGAGACTTGGCTAATTTTTTTTTGGTGTAAAATGTATGAAAATGTTGAAGTCAATACAAAATAGAACATATCTTTGAGAAGCTGCAATCAGTATTACCTTTCAACATTTATAGGAAAGGCTAAAACAATTACTACAGAAACTAAGCTCCATTTTTCATAAGATAATTTTGCTTGTTTTTATAAACTCAGAGAAATTGAAAGCACGATTTTCACTAGAGTGCTTGTTAAGCAGTTCCGAATTTTTTATTTGCCATTAATTAAGCGTTTTGCTTTTTCTCTGTACCAAAGACTATGGTCATTTCAAATCTGTTGTACAGCCGTGCCACATATGAGCCAGTCACAATGGCTTTTTGTTAAAAATAGCTATGTTGTTCATTTAAAACAGAGATTTTGAAGAAGAACTGTAGCTTTAGAAATTATCTGTTTTCTGTTAAACAGCTCTTACTTTGGAACAATAGCTGCAGTGGGGTTGTTTCGAACTCTTGCCAAAAATGTGTAGAAGCGATAACAACCTGTGTGATAATAACCTGTGTGAATATTATAACACTGCTGAAATTCGAGTCTTTGTTTGAAGGAGAAATTTCTTTAAATAAAGATAAAGAATTTCGATTCTAAATTAATATTACAACTTTAGTAGTGGCAACGAAAAAGATATTCCAATAGAAGCAATAAAAATTGAAGTAAATTATGATTTTTCTTATGATTATTTTAGTGCCATGATGAGGGGTAGAGCAATGTTTATAGACGTTGTCGCAGCATCTGGCCACCATGGTTTCTTCCAAATCTTACGCAGAAAAATGCACTGTAAGAGATGTGATAGCCTTCTCATTTTGCACAATATTGCTTAATCATACGTATATAAGGTAATGACATATTTGCTTCAGAATTAAAAAGGAAAAGCGTTGCAATTCCAAACCTGCTCCAATTTAGGTATTTTCTGTTATGCTCCTTCCCCGCATTTTCGCATTTGTCAAAGAGAAGCCAGTGATAGCACCACCTGGGCCACCATATATATGTGCATGTGCGTGTGCGTGTATGTACGTAAACAAAAATAATTTACATGCACAGACACATTATTAAAGTAGTACCACCAAAATGCGTGGCAGGTGCATATCGGAAAAGTATCCAGATTTAAATTCCACATTTTTTATTCAAGTAAAGCAAATTTAGTTTAAATTTGTTTTAGTTTAGGATATGACACCTAGAACTGGAAATGTCCATCTCTCATTGATACATTGCCCCCGACATTTTTTTTTTGGTACATAAATGCTATGTGCTTTTTTGACATTTATCTGAATCTAAGTTATATTTTCCAGTATGAAGGAGGAATTGCCGAAATGTTTTTAACGGAGAGCCAGAGAGCTTACTACACTGCAATGTTGAAACTGGGTCGGAGGAAGCCACAGAGGATCGTTACGCGGCCGCAGAACAGATATCTCAGGATCTGCTACGATATCGCACTGAGCAGAAGGTATTGTTGTGCACTTTATTCTCATGACACAAGTTTTACATGGTTGGGTTTTCAACTGCGATAGCAGTTGTTTCTTAAAAGCTAATCACCAACAGAAATTGTGTTTCGGAAACACGGTATGAAATGTTAAATGTTACAGAAAATTTACCTGAGTTTTAGACGCTGTTACCGTTGCTTAATCTCCCACTTTGAAGATCACTTTAGATGAAACGTTTAAAAATAACTACTGAAAATTAATCTCTGTACTGAAAGCTATTTATCATATAACTAGTTGATACTCGCCCGCTTTGCTGGGCACACTATTTATTTGAATGTGAACTTAGACTTCTTATATGGACGAAATGTCTAATTTCAAATTGATAATTAATGTAATTTTTTTAATTTGAAGTCGGGGAAGATAGTGCCAGTCAGTGAATCTGTCATACACAGATTTCCCCATCACCCATGAGGCACTGTGCATTCGGATGCATCCCCATTACTTAACGTGGAGGGATCCCAAGTAGGCCTACACCACGAAAAATTGCCAACATAAAACTACGGTTTATATATCTTTAACTTTTATCATAAGTTTCATGAAAATGAAAGTTATTATCTTTGTTATCAAATTTTATAATCAATTATAACTATTTGTCTTTGATGGCAATTTTTATAAATAACGAGAACACTTTTATTTTTCATCACAATAATTTATTTCTCTCATTAATAATATTTATTTTCATGAAACTTATGATAACTGTTAAATATAAATGTTATTATTAACCTTATCATTTAAATGTTGTTTTTATTCATTGGATAGATACAAATTATTTACCAATTTAATAATTTTAGAGGAAAATGCATTTATTGGCAACATTATATTTCATTTATAGTTTTTGGCAACAATAAAAGAAAATTCTGAACTTGGATTTGGAAACCAAATGTATGACAAACTTCTATTGAATAACAAAAATCTATTTTGGACAGGATTTACGTAAAATCCGTTCTTAGTGCGCTCTACATCGTGGAATGAGTAACTATACAAAATTTCGAGTCAATCGGGTATACAGTTCTGGAAATCTCGTGATGAGTCAGTGGTATTTCGCTTAGATATATATATATAGATTATTCAAACAGGAAGTGAACAACAGTGGTAAAATAACAATATAAATTGGTTAATTTTTTTCTCAAAGAAAAGCACGTGCGTATTATCTGTCTAAGTAGAAGAATGTTTAAAAAAAACCAGAAAACCTCTAAGCAGCTAGAAGCCAGATAATTCATCGGGGGATAAACTCGATTCCAGGTACTGGTGCTTAGTGGTTTTATCATCTCGGTTACTGATGCAACTTAATGTGGAAGAATTTTGATTGAAAATTTACTATTTCGGAAGAAGTGGAATTCTTCTCATTTCGGTAGCTAAATAATGCCTAGAAATTAAGATCAATTGAAATCAAGAACTTAGAAATCAAGAACCGATTCAAAGTTCAATTTAGAGTGACATATATTGTAGAAAATAGAAAAGAAAATTTCAGAATAATGAGTCCTGAAATACTATTTTTTTTATTGAAATAGGACTATTATTCATCTAAAATATTCCAGGATTTCAGTCGTCGGTTAAAGATTCTTTTCTTCAAGAAAATTCATTAAAATCCTTTAAGATGCTTTTCACCTAATCTTCGATTAAAGATTCTTTCATTACTTCAAGAAAATAGTTTGACAGAAGAGGATTTAATATAGTTCTTTCTTGTTATAACGCGGATTGCTAAACACTGGTAATTGGATCCCGATTCGAATCCTGACGCAAGGCTATCCTGCCTATGGGTTTCTTTCCATGTGTTTTCAATAGTTTTCCCAATGTATAAGGTGAACATGATCGAGTTTTCTTTAAGAAAGTCTTCACGATGGCATCCTTTTTTTGATGCAACTAACCTTCACTTGATTTACTGTAACCAGTTTAATAACCATAATAATAATGTGGATGATAGCGATAGCATCGTTGTAATGAAAGTTAATCAAAGAAGAAAAATCGAAGGAAAATATCCAAGTGGAATGAAGAAATTATATCTTAAGTTAATATTAAGCATTTAGTACTTAGCATAAAATTCAAGAACTATTTTTGTAGCTTTGAGTGAGCAAATTATGTAAAAGGAAAAATAGAAAAGTGATAAATATATTGTAGGTAGCTAATGCGAAAAATAAATATCATGTAACAATCGTATTTATAGGCGTAATATGTTAAATAAAATACTTTGGATATATGTTTTGCAGGTTTATTTAGAAATAAACATAGCTTCATATTTTCAACTCACTTTCAATTGTTTATATTTTTCTAAAAATAAAAACTTAATCGCAGAATACATATTTTGAGCTTTAATTCACTATTTCGATGTATTCACAGCTTTCAATAGCTGATAGTTTGAAAGTATCTTTTTCTGCATAGTCATGAACCTCCTGCTGCCCTCATTTTAGTTTTTATTAGATTGTTATAAAGATTTTTTTTTAACCACGATTAGTAATTTTAGGTTAGGACAAAAATAATAGTTTCGAAATCACGTCATCGCTTACATGTAGTTTTAAGAAGCACCTGCAAAATATCTTAATTGCAGATATCATAGTGATATATCCAGCCATGTTGTTTTAACTACTGAAGAATGTATATAATCAAAACATAACAATAAACAAGCAGCAGCATAATTAAGATACAATAACACGCCGAATAAATATTAATTTAGAAGTCAAACAACAAAAATCAGCGTTATATTTTCAAATTTTCATAGGACTAGTTTCGATGGCTTTACCGAACCATCATCCTCAACTGCAAAAGCGCAAATGAACGAGATAGATATAATGATTAGATAAGATAAGAAAGCCTGGACAAGATAGAGCCACGCGTCTCTGTTTGATGAAACCAAACTAAAACAGTTGTCTTTAAAGGCCGAAGACAAAGATGGATTGGAATTAGGGTCGTTAACTAGAACAGAAAGATTTTTTGAGTGTGAAATGCCTCTAGAAAATCCATTTCACCAATGGAAAATGTTTTTTGAATAATTTTGGCAGCAGAAAAATTGAAAGTGTGATTTTCGGACCAACAATGTTGGGCAACAGAAGACCTCTGTAATGCGAAGTGCTTTAAAGCTATCTTAGTTTGGCCAATGTAAATTAAGCCACATTGGCTAGGAATCCTGTAAATACCCCAGGAATTCATATCTGGAATGTTGTCCTTAAGTATGGAACTCGGAATTTTATTGATAGGAGAATAAACGACCCGAAAGTAAAATTTCTGCAAAATACGTGCAACTTTATAGCTAATTGATGGAAAGAAGGGGATTGAGAACATAATTTTTATAATCTCCTAAAACAAGAGTGTGCCTTTTGGTGTGCTGAGATAGAAATTTTTTAATTGCTTGATTAAAATGTTGGGTGAAAAGCCCCTGTCAATAGCTATTGCTTTTAAACATTTATTCTTCATCAAGGATAGTTTGGAGGGGCAAACTTGAAGAGCACGAAAAACATAGGAATAAATGAAGCTAACTTTTGTTTAGTCGATGACATGATTTGAAGTGTGGTGGAAGGCAAACCAATGAAGGTTTACGGTAAAACCGTAGTACTGAAGCTGGATGTGTTACGTGTTGACCAGAATGTCGACAAACGGAAGAAATTGCAATTCCAAGTTCAAAAGGGAACTGAATAGCAGGATCAATGGAATTCATTGTTGAAAGATATTTAAATCATCTTTATTACCTCCAAACAGGGTAAAAGTATCGTATACGTAACGGAACCATACCGGGAAGTTTAAAGTATCAAACAATTTTGAGTCATCGTAATGCATGTAGATATCAGCCAGGATGGGACTGAGGGAGCTTCCCATGGCTAATACCTCAGTTTGCTTGTAATATTTATGACCGTGCTCTTCAAGTTTGCTCTTCCAAACTATCCCTTGATGAAGAACTAAATTATTTAAAAGCAATGCTATTGACAGGGGCTTTTTACCCAACATTATTAATCAAGCAGTAAAAAAATTCTCATCTCAACACACTAAAAGGCACACTCTTGTTTTAGGAGATTATAAAAATTCTATTGTCATTCCCTTCTTTCCATCAATTAGCTATGCACGTATTTTGCAGAAGTTTAACTTTCGGGTCGTTTATTCTACCATCAGTAAAATTCCGAGTTCCATACTCAAGGACCCCATTCCGGATACGAATTCCTGGGGTATTTACATGATTCCTTGCCAGTGCGTGTTGTCAGCCTTTAAAATTAAATTTACACCTTAGCATCAGTCATCGAATTTTAAAGATAGCTTCTAACAAACTATCTTCGTCTTCTTTTACAAAAGCTTTAGAGTCTTGATCCTTTATATTTGAGAGAATGTTACGCAGAAAGTATACTTTTATATATACACAGAAAGTATACTTTAAAATATAATCAGTGTTTGTTATAACGACTGCTGATTATAACCACCATTTCACTGCGACGACCAAAGGAAAAAAAGTCTTCAATAGTATTGGCGTATAATAATTCCATATTCGATTGCTTGTTATGATATTTTTTTCTTTAGAACGTGAGGGCATCAACAAACAGTCATATTTTCAATAAAGAAAAAAATGAAAAACTTTAATTCATTTTAAGCTTCGTACGACTTTCATAGTTATTTTAGATATTAATATGTTTAATGTGCATTTGTTAATTCTCGAATGGTTCGAAAAACAAAATCTTCGAATTCGCTTATATGAAGGCAGTTTTACAAGAGATTTGTATATTTTCTCAGTATTTTAGTTAAGTTTGGTTCAAATTGAACTTAAATTATTGGAATTTTAAACGACATTTCAGGACTAGTAAATTCATTTGTTTCTAGCATTAGCTATACAAGTGAACAATTTAATTACAGTGGAAATTATTAATATTTTTTACAGACGTTAACTATATTCAGTTACATTAATTATTGTAATCGATAACGCACTTTAAATTCTTAATAAATCCATTTTTCTTCGTATTCATTGACAGTTTGAATGAATAATAATATAATCATTTAATTTGTTTTCTTTGTACGAAAGAAAAAGGTATTGTAATTTTATCTTTATCGATGAAGAACCGTTTTCATTTTTGAAGTCTTTCTTCTCGTTAACTAGTTTTTTAGTACACTTTAGACCAGCGGTCGTCAATCCTTAGAACTTCAAGGACCACTAAATATAAAATTTTATATTTGGCGGACCACTAATATGAATTCCTAAAAAAAAGGTAAATACATTTATATAATAATAATCAGCAAACTACACATATTTCGTTCACATTGAAGAATTGCATGAAAAGTAAAAAAAAAATCTTACCTTCTTGTACAGAAAGCTTCACATTTCCATATCACTGAAAGAGAACTTCAATGCAAACGCAAATCAATGTCAATAAACTGATAGTGTTATGCCGCCAGTTTTTAATAATTATTGTAAACATAATAATCATCGCTTACTCAGCAAAGGCGCAATCGATCAACAGTTAGGAAAAAAAAAGAAAAAAAAAAAAAAAAAAGAAAAAAGAAAGAACGGTAACTTCCAGTGATGCAATTATAAACAAGAAGGCGGATGAATCATCTGCATTCTTGTTTATAATTCTATCAAGTTCCATCCATAAATATCCATGAAGTTGCATATTGAAACGGAGAAAGACAATGTTATTAACGACTACAATAGCATATGTTTGTAATTCAAAAATAAAGAGAATTCCAGTTCGCGCTAATATTGATAACAGCAGCATATCCGTAGATGCCAAATCTCACTTTCAAATGTCGCTAGATACAGCTGCAAAAGTAGCTAAAATGTCGCTGAATTCAGAAGGAATTTCGCTAAAAGTAGTAGCTACAATTTAAAAAAAAAATAATCCATACTTCATAATAGGTTTTGTTACTCGTCATTTTTTAAACTGAATCTTCAAAAAAATACGCTGCTTTAGACTATAAAGTACACATAAAATATATAACATATAGGAAATTATGTTGGATAAGTAAAAAGGATGTTAGTGAAATTTCTTTGTAAAAGCAATAATATTAGTACATCTAATTTACGTGTGCTTTTTATGTTCTTAATTCAAACCTTCGTTTCAAATGATACGTATGGCGTATTTTTCTCCTCTCGAAAAGGTGAAATAAAAGTAAAAGAAAGTAAAACATGCTAGTAAAGATGACAATTATTTTATATTTTCAAGAATTAATTTTCGTTGTGCGTTTCTTATTTTCTTCATTACATTGCATTATTTTATTTTGAAAATGAAATATGAAAATTATGAATGAAAATTACTACTTTGAAAATTATTAATTAATTTGATCCTAATGAGAGTAATTTCAAGCAACGAAGTAGCTTACAATTAGACTGCTTTTGTTTATATAAAGTATATTTTGACCTTAGATTCGAAATGGTTGTGTTCATTCTCATCATCTTGAACATGGTGGCCATGACAGTAGAACATTATCAGCAACCTGAACAAATTACCTCCATTCTAGAAACTTTGAACATCATATTCACAGCCATTTTTAGCATGGAAGCTCTTATCAAAATTATAGGACTCAGGCAATATTACTTCACCTTTCCATGGAATATTTTTGACCTTGTAGTCATTCTGTTGTCTATTATTGGTAAGTACTGCTAAATATTAATTATTGATATATATTTATTTATAAAGGGTTCAAAATTATTCGAAAATAAAAGTTGAAATGATATTAGACTTATAAAATTCTTGACTAGTTTACTGATTTCCTTATTTAGAGACAAATAACGTCAAGCTGTGACTTCATACATTATTATTCAAAGTGCGTATTCTTTTTGGATACCCAAGTAATGAATAATTTGAGTTAAAATAACACTCAATGAGTATTATAGTTGGAGGAGTTAAACGAACAAGAATCAGCGTAATATTCATAAATTTGCAGGATTACTCTCGAAGGTTTATATGTCGGACCTTTTTCTTCAGCTGCAGAACTGCAAATGATGGAAAAGAAGCCTGTGTTCAGGCGACAAGACTGAGTGAGTGAGAGATTATGGCGCAAAACTAAAGATGATTATAGCGCGCGACAAGACTGAGAAGAAGGAAGTTTATTTCCATTGATTTGCTATAAAATTGTACGTAGTTTACAGGAATTTAACTATCATGTCTTTTTCTCGTCTATCAATAAAATTCGCAGTTCCATACATACCGGATAGGAATTCTGGGGTATTGGGATTTCTTGCCAGCGTGTTTTAATTTACATTGATCAAACTAAAAGAGCCTTAAAAATTTGCGCTAAGAAACATGAGGAGTATGTTAGAAAATAATAAACATATGAGTTTCCCTACTGCTCTCTCCAATACTTTTGGTCAGAAAATCACATCCTCTGTTTTTCTGCAGCAAGTGTTATTCAAAAAACATCAGCCGTTGATGAATTAAATTTTTAGAGCATTTTACATTAAAAATTCTTTCAGTTATAGTTAACGTTTCTAATTCTAAACTGACATTACTCTCGGCATTTAAGAAAATTATTTCATAGTTTTTCCATTTTTCATCAATAGATGGCGCCAGTAGCTTGACTTGCTAACTCATTCTTATCGCATGAGCACAGGCTTCTCTGCAGCTAAAGAAGAAGGTTCTGTATTTAAACCTTCGAAACTAGTGCCCTAGTGCTATAAGTTATTTCTTCTATCTTCTCAACATGCCTTCGTGGTGTAATGGTCAGCACACTCGGCGCGTATTCGAGAGGTTCAAGTCCCGGCTAGTGCATTGCTCATTTTTCATGTCTCCTGCTTCGAAACAACCTTATGTCTCTACAGTCGTGCAAATTTTTGAATATTCTGCTGACCCTTGTTCTTTTAACTTCTACATATATATTGAATAATGTATTTTATAATGTGTGTCAGCTTTAACGTTTTCTGGAAAAGAAAATGTTACTGAAATTCCTTCAAGTAGTTTACCAATGTACTAAATGAAGATCGCTCAATTTAGACAAGATTCCAAAATAAATTGCATGTTTATGTAAATGATACTATATTCAGTTAAAATAAATGATAAAATGTTATAACTAAGTAAGTAAATAAACTAGAAAAACTAAAAATTACAGCCGGGAGAAATCATTCAAACATGTTATGTGAACTGAAAAATATGAACATGGTATGTGAAACGGATTCGGAAATATTGAAGGCATTGTGGTTCCAGAGTAACTGAGCCGATTATTAGGATAAAAAGATACATAAATGGAAGAACTCATTATTATAGCATCACTTTTGTTTCTGATATAAAAAGTTACCCTTTGTAGTATTGAGATGTATATTCACATATGGAATCTCATTACCGGCTGATCAAGCAGTCGACAACCAACATGTCGAACTCGACAGCCAGTATGGACCAACTGGCTGTACCGGATAAATGTCAAATAAAATGTAATAATGGATGGGAAAGCAGCATTCTAAGAGTCAAGACTGTCTCATAAAAAATGGTATGAGATTGTGATAAGAATAACAGAAGGAGCTGCATAATATCAGCAGATGTCCAAGTCTTTTTATTATCTGTAGCTCTTTAGGAATAACAACTAGCCTAGATTTCAAAATCTGCTGTAGATATTTGTCTATTGTGTTTTTCATGGACTACTAATCGAACATTAGTATGCTACATGTACATAAAGCTTAATCCTGAAAACAGTAAAAGTTCTTTTTTCCATAGCTGGAAACTTCTCTCCAGATATTCGTTTTCGATGTGGGAGGACGTGTTGCAACTTACATTCAAAGCGGACTTCTCACGTTCCTCAACTTTCTACGTACGCTTGGGGTACTGGTGTATCTAGTGTACCCTGATTATATATCCAAAGATTGAGTGGAGTCATTGCGACACTGATTGCTCAGATTCTAATACAAACGTTACTGGTAAGCTCAATGTGTACTACAAGATGATAAAATAGCTTATAATAAAAATATATAGATAAAATACACTCATGTTCATAAATTAAGGATAATGCAAAATCAGGCAAAGGAAGAGTTAGAAGCAAAACAAATTTGACTTATTTGTAAAGCTTATTTATTAAACAAAAGGTAAAGAGCAAAAAAAGATGCTATATGTTTGATATTATTAAAAAAATTAGCGATTTTTTCTCCTTGGAGCAAACCACCAAAAAAAAAAAAAAACTATTTACAAAAAAACAACATTATATGGTTGGTAGGATTATTAATACATTGTGTGTCTCCCAGACGATGCAATACAGTCCATACAACGCCTAGGCATGCTCAGTATCAAATTATCGATCTGATCTTGGGGGATATTACACCACTCAAAACGCAATGCTCTCCGAAGTTCCGGTAGACATGTAGGAGGAGGTTGACGGGCTGTAACTCGTCGGCAAAGCATGTCCCACACGTGCTCTACTGGATTCAAGTCCGGTGAGAATGCTGGCCAGTCCATACGGGTGATATCTCCGATTGAAGGCATTTGCTTACGATGTTTGCAAGGTGAGGACGGGCGTTGTCATCCATAAACACAAATTGTGCGCCCATGGCGCCCCGAAACAAACGTACATGTTGTTCCAGATTGACGTCCCGATAGATTTGGCTTGTCATGGTTCCAATTTGAACATGCAGGTCAGTTCTAGAACCCAGAATAATTCCACGCCAAACGAGCACTCCTGTACCACCGTAACGGTGTCGTTCGATGATGTTTTCTTGGTGATAACGGTACCTGGAGCTCTCCATATGAAAGTCCGGCGAGAATCAGACTGAAAGCTAAACCTGGACTCGACGGAAAACATCACACAAGCCCACTGTTGCGGTGTCCACAATGCATGCTCTCTACTCCAGGCTAACCGCAGGCGATAGTGACTTGCAATAAGTGGAACGCATCTGACAGCTCTACGAGCATATAGACCAATCTGCCCTAAGCGTCTGTACACGGTCTGCCTTGAAATTGTCGTAACAGTGGCTGAAGAGAGCTGACGAGACAGGTCTGAGGCTGTGCTCCTCCTGTTCTTTTTGGCAGTAACTGCCAAATAACGGTCCTCATTCGGCGTTGTAAGTCTGGGGCGACCTGTGCTGTAACGTCTACTCACATTACCATCATCTTGGAATCGTTGCCAAAGCCTGGAGATGACACTCTGGGCAATTCCGAGTTTGTTTGATACTTCCAGTTGGGTACGCCCACATTCCAGACGGCCGATAATTCTACCACGTAAAAAAATCAACCAAATGCGTCCTTTGTGTCATAACTATTCGGTTATTGCACTGAAATGCTTATAAAGCGCCTGCGAACAATTTTACTTCTTTGCCTGTATTCCTTATTTATACACTCTCGTCATTGTGACGTATCATCGGTGTCATCTGGTTACTTCCTGAAATTTGCATATGATTCTTGAAGATGTGTGTAGTGATTTTACAGGTGATATATTTATTTTAAAGTTCGATTTCCGTGTGACTCCGAATTATCCTTAATTTATGGACATGAGTGTATAATGACAGTAATAGTTATACCTCTAGACGGCTTCATATGGTCTAGGATGAGATTTCTCATAAGCTCGTGGTTGTTTAGTAGGTGCATGCCACAAAATTGTGTGTTGTTACGATGCACTGGCTAAACTTTGTTGAATGGCCACACCATTCTGACCAATGCAGCGGGCGATACAACGACTGGGTCGCTTTATGAATCCAACGATACAGATACTTCTTCATATAATGCGCAAGTCAGATATCCAGGTATTTTTACTGTAACGTAGCGTTTTAGCAGGTTTTTCGATATTACAACTGGCATTGCATTCGAGCAATCACATTGATCTTTAATAAAACTTTCTGTGCTTTTTATGGGCCACTATTCGAACATTAAACATGAGATTTTTTTAACTATTTTCACGTTTAACAAAGTATAAAATTTAAATAAAAGTACAAAGTATAAAATTAAATTAAATAAAAATATAATTTCAAAATGAATTCAGCTTTGATATCGAGGTATGTCTCTTTTCGCCTTAAAAAGTGAATTTGCCCTATAGCATCTGCTGGTTTATTGATTTAAAATGAAACATTTCCAGAATCCACTAACAGATGTATTATACAATGCAGATAACCAAATACCAATAACAGATGTATTATTTCCATAGTCAAAATTATAGTTTTAAGAAATAATAAAACAACGCTACTAAAACTTGTAAAATTAATAATTTATTAGTGCATGAATTTATGTGTGTACATAGTTTAAGCTTATTTTTAAAGTTTGATATGAATATAAATCGTAACATTATTTATTAAAAACAATATAAAAGTAAAGAAATGGCCTAGCAAAATAAAGAGCTATGAAGCACTTGATTAATTTATTATCGAGTAATTAATATTTTGTTATCTTAATTATGTAGTTTGATTCTTAAATCAACGTACTTAAAATAATTTTCATTTCAATGAAGTTTTAACATATAATTTATTTAATACAAATGCATAAGATCGCAAGTTTTTTAAAGAATTTTTTATTACGAAAATTTTTTACTTACAAAATTGTTCTTTATAATGTCTTCCTTACGTGAAAGAACGGGAGGTAACTCATAGTCAATATTGAATAGAGTAGCCAGCATCATTGAGACAGGCGCGTAGAAGAGTTGAACCGTTGATTCTGAACGAATATTTGATTTATTTTTACCGTCTT